AAAAGTTTGAATTTGACAGAAAGTCCGGCGGTATACACCATAGTTGTCTATGAATGAAGACTTATTCACTCTTAAAGATAAGTCACTTGTAGATTAGATTACCATTCCTAAACCAGATAATTCATAATCTTGGACTTATAAACTAGCATATATCACCACTAATAAGTCCCCACCCCCTCAAGCCACCAACAGAAAAAAAAAGTAGGTTAGCTTGTTTTGGGATTTTCTGGGAATAACTTCAAGCATTTGAACCATTGTTAGAAAAACAGGCCGGTTGGAACCTGATCCAGCCAGTTAGCTCGGAACCAGTGGGTTCCGAGTCCAAGTTAGAGCCGGTTTTGTGTGTCTAGTAGCCTATGTAATACCCCCCTAAAACTTCCGGCCCAAAACCGGCCGTTTACGGGTCAAACCGGCCATGTTGCCTAACCGACCGGTTTTCTCCTAAACTGGACCGGTTAGCCGATATAACGGCATTTTTTCGTACACAACGGTACAGTATTGATAACGGGTGTTATTTGACATAGGGGCCATTATATGTAGCAGGAAAACCATGAATCCAATTTGTCACCTCTTTTATTCGTTTTCCAGCCATTTTTGGCTTTTTTTTTTTGTTATTAATGCTTTAAATCACTATAAAATGAATATAAAACAATGAATTTTGATTTAAACATCGAAAAAAAAAGGAGTTTTTTTTATTCGAAATGGAAGATTTTCTAGGTTTTTGAAAATTTCCGCCATTCTTTCAATTATATCTTCAATACATAATGGTTCTCGAAGAAATTTGAGGGTTTTGATAGCTATTCAAAGTATTTACCTTATTCAAGTTTCAATTTGTTCAAAACACCAAAGATCGTGGGTTGATTTTGGCCTGAAAAGCTGCTGCACAGAGAACTTGTGTTTGATTTAGAAAAGAAACTTTTTTATCCAATTATTGGTCATTTTTTATCAAATTTAGTTGTGTATTTCGATCATCAAGGCTTCATATCTGAAATAAAATGGGTATGTTTATTTATGATTGATTAAAAAAAATTATATGAATTCTTTTGGTGCACGATGTCATGAAAATTGCATAGATCTGAAATTTCGGCATTTTATCAATTAAATCCAAAATACATAATATTTTTTGATAAAATTTGGTGTGTTTCTAAGATGATCGAAGCCTTTACAATGCGTGTGTGTTGATTTGTTCGATTATTCGAACATTGATGGTTGTTTCTTGCTCGATTTAGGGGTTTTGAGAAATCGATTTTTTTAAATAAATATATTTTGCTTAGTAAAATTATGTTTTTTGATGAATATGGGATTGGTTTTCTATTTGCTTAATAAAATTATTTTTTAATAAAATTATGTTTTTTGATGAATATGGGAAGTGTTTTTCTATTTTGCTTAATAAAATTATGTTTTTTGATGAATACGGGAAGTGTTTTTTTGTTTTGCTTAATAAAATTATTTTTTTATAAAATTATTATTTTTAATAAAATTATGTTTTTTGATTAATATGGGAAGTGTTTTCTATTTTGCTTAATAAAATTTTTTGATAAAATTATTTGTTCGATTGTTCTTATATGGAACCGCGAAACAATAGCAACATCCTATCCTGATTATGGCCTCAAAGGACGTTACTTTAGTTTGCATTGTTGTAGAATAAATATTCATTTTCCTATTGCTTTCTTAATTGATCATTCTATTTCCGTGCAAAAGATTTGAAACCCTCTCAAATTTTAAGCTTTGGATTTGATAGCAAGCTCGAGAAAAGTGGTTATTGATCCACCTTGGTCATCTACAAAAAAATTTCTTAAGATAAATGTAGGTAATAAGATAATATAAACTGAATCTATGTTTTTTTTTTTTGGCATTTTTGGCCATTTTAAAAAAAAAAATTCTACCAGACCGGTTAGTCCGGCTCCGGTTCTAACCGCTCCAAGCCCTATGTCTAGTTAACCGTTCCGGTTCGATTTTGCGAATACTAATTCGAACCCTTGACTCATATATCTACCATTAAGCCAAAGCCTAAAGGACTCCACTAATAAGACAAGGCAAAAAGAGGTTTAATATCAGCCTACATTGATTGTAAATCATTCTTGCATATAACGTTGAATACCTTTGATCTGCAGCATCATGCTTCCTTTGTGCTGCTTCTTTAATCTGCAATGAATACAAAGTGGAGTAGTTGGTATCAGGAAACACTGAATGAGAAAAAATGAATATCTCCCGTAGCCAATCACAATAATTACCGTGATTTGCAAAAACACTGAACGATAAACATACAAATCAAATATTCATGGAGATGCCGCTTAAGGTACAAATACAAACACAAACAAGGGACTTCAAAAACAATTATGATCACACTTGCGCTTCAAAATTTCAGGAATTTCATCACCTCTGAAAGTGCAGTAAGTTTCATCAGCTGAAGCAAAGTGGAGACGTTTTTTTTAGGCAGGTGCTGATTACTAAATTCTATTTTTGCTCCAACAATTAGTAAGCCGCAAATATCCTAAATTTGTAGGTTGAGTATAATTGCCAAATAAAAAAGTGCCAAAAAGATATGGCAGTTTGACCGTGACACAAACCATTACAGCTGTCAACCATGCAGGTATTGCCCACTACAACTTCACTCTAGCATATTTGAAGAGGTTCTTTTATGCCCTATTCACTACGCAACGATGTGCTATTATGTAGCAATAAAACGGACTGTGGAAAAATAACAACCACAAAGGAAGATGCACATGATGGTACAACTAATGTCAATGATTAAGGCAGAAACATATAAAATTATAATGCAGTGTAAAACAAACTTCAACAAGTGAAAAGAAGAGGAAAGAGTAAAGGTGGAAACCCACCGTTCTCTTTTCCTTGACCTCTGCAAGCAAAATGAGTTGCCGCATAGTCAGTATTGAGACATCAATTTCATCTTCTGGCATAGCGAGAACGTCATCATCCACTGTCAAAAACAGAAACTCCATCATGAGATTCTCTATTCCATAGTAAGAAGCATTAAAAGAAGGCACTACATTGCTAAACAGTTAAATTTGCTAAGAAACCAAGATGTTCTTACACTGCCTTCTTTTTCGTCTGGTGGAGTGGGAGAACTTCCTTTTTGCAGCTTTCTCTGTCAAGTTATCTTCTTCTGAATTCTTTCTTTTATTGGGGCGCACTTTTGCGTTGTTAACAGACTTCTGATTCTTAGAACTTGAATGTTTAGATCTTGATGAACATCTCAACTTAACCTCATCCCCACCCAAGTAATCACCATCGTCAGCGTCATCATCACCACCACCACCACCATCATCAATGATATCATCATTTTGTGAAGTTTCAATGTTAGATTCCTCATCCTCATCAGCAGTTTCTTCAATTTGTTTATTTTTATGGACAACACTCCTCTTCCTAAGCTGCCTTCTAGAGCCACCGGTTCCACTCACATCATGGCTAGCTGGTGGCATTAATGCATGCTCCTCTGCATCTTCTTGCACAGAAGAGGTCATGTTCCGCTTCCTAGTGCTGACTCTCCTCTTCTTCTCACAAGAAACGGGAGCAGAAGCTTCATTATTCCCACTATCATTATTGAAGTCTTGGGTTATTTCTCCAATTTGTGAAGGTTGAGGTTGAACTTCTCTCAATGAGATCAGGCCCTCTTGACCGGTATCATGGTTTTCTGTAGATTTTGATATAGTATGATGCCAATCCGACAATTCCTGGTCAAGACACAAAAATATACATTGTAATCTGTCAATTAAAAGCGCTGACATAAAACACTGTAAAAATTAACAGAATTACCAGATGGTTGATGAATGTGTAACGTCATATATTAAGCACTGCATTCCTAAATAGAGCAATACGTAAAATATCATTGAAAAATCCGTGGCCCAAACAAACCCTTCCATGTTAAAATCCCTAAACTTGGTTGCGGTTTCCGAATATATGCAGAGGATACTAATGATGATGATGATTATTATCAGTAGTAGAACCCTATAATTGAAACCCTCACCAAAAGTGTGATGATGAAGAACTCTTAGGTGTTTGATAATGCTGCAAATGTACCAGAATCACTGTCTTCTTTTCTGAAGAATATCATCACTTGGAGGATATTTGCTAGATTTACCAGAATACTGTCATGAGGCACGTTAGTTTTAACATGCATTCAAATGTCCATTAACTTTTCCGATGTCAATGCATAAAGGATTCGAAGAGAAACCTAAGGATACACCACTTGAGCTCCAATGTAAGCTATTGGGTAGACTCAATATATTACAGAACTTTCTATAAGAAAAAATCATGTCTACATTTTTTAAAAGTGTTTTTGGTAGAAGATGAAAGAAGTAGTACTTCCAAAAAATGATTTTCTCCATTATTCCCTTAGATGAAAATTTACCAACAAATCAACATTCTTTTTTTCACTGATAGAGTCATCATTCATAGTGCGACAGTATCGAAATTACAGATTTTGACCCATATTTTTACTTTTTAAAGTAAACAACTAACCCATTAAATTGTTTATTATATTGGAAATTAATTGACATATATCACTCTGATGAATTACCAGATACATAAAATTCCTAAAAGAATAACAAATTCAGAGCCTTATGCATTCAAAACAGTGAAACATAAAAGCAGGTTTCCAAAAAGCATTAAAGTGGGAATAAACCTCAAAACTCACAGTTTCCTTTGCCATCTCGGAATCTTTCGGCAAGTTCGTTTCATTGGGACCCTCCCCAGCATTGCCATCTTCTCTGATACCAACTTCATCTGAAACTTCTGTTCTCCTAGAGATCAACTCTTGCTCTTGCGTACCATTAGAAACTGATGAATCCAAGACTCCTCTATCATCAACAGGGGATTCAGATGTAAGAAGATGGGTGAATGAAACTTTGGTTGCATCGTTACATGGCTTGATGAGAGATGAAAAGCCATTATTGGGATCATAAATAGATCCATCTTCTACTGTGTTGTTAAGTGGTTTTACGGTGGGTTGAGGATTAATTTCAGGGATTAAAGGTTTATTGGAATTGTCTTTATTCTGTGCATGCGAAGAAGGAATGGACGGCCTCTTTGCCTTAGCCTTTGGCTGGAACTTGGTGCCCACCTTCTTGACTGCAAGCATGAATCCCACCATTGTTAGCCATCAAATTTACAGATCATTGCAAGAGAGAGAGAGAGGGAGAGAGGATTTACAGGACTGAGAGAGAGCGAAAGGATTTCAAATACCTCTAGAGAGAGAGAGCAATCTTAAAAAGCAACCAAATTTACAAAAATCATTGCAAGAGACAGATAGACATAGAGAGAGGATTTAAAAGACCTCTAGAGAGAAAGAGGGGGATTTACAGGCCTCTAGAGAGAGAACAAATCTTTTTTTTTCTTTTTTCTTTTTTTTAAATCAGTTACTACAAATTCACTACCAAACCATCGACATGTCGTGAGCTAAATACCTAGTTAACAATCATGCAACGGCTACTTTCTGGGTTTTCAAATTCAAAATCAGGGGATGAGGAGACTTGCAATCCCATCTCAAATGCTCCCCGCCATTTCTCTTCACTCTCTTCCCCTGCATCTCCTTCACCACACTAGCATCAAGAAACCCAAACCCTAACCATAAATATGGAGAGATAAACCCTAGAACCATCCTCCATCCCGTTTAAAATGCTCAGACATGGCAACCCTGAACCTAGGGAATAATCCAAACATGCTCAGACCCTCCACTTGGATTCTGTTCCCCTTCCACTGGAGAGAATTTGCACTCCTTTCTATGTTGTCATTTTTTTGTACCTTGTTCTTCAAATATTCAAGTTTCAGATGGGCAGGGCCCGAGGTTGTTTCATGGACTTGAATGGGGAGAGTGAGACTTGTAGCCTTGCATCTAGAGCAGATGAGTACCCAAATTCTCCTAGAAAAGAAGAACCTTTGCCCTCGAGAAATCTGAGGAAGCTTGCCCTTAAGCATCCCAACATCGCTTCGACAGTCACTTTCTATCTGAACTACAAAGATTTAATAGCTTACCATGACTCACAAGCATTGCATTGCCAGTTTGAAAATTAGCATTTGACTCTATGGTTCACCAATAATCCATGCACGAGCAAGAACCATCTATGAAGTGGTGGAATCGCACTCGATCTCTAATAATGATTTCCCTATCAAAGATCCTAGAGATCGCTTTCATGGCCGAATGGCAATCTCCACATATGCGAAGGTTTTTCACAACATAAATCATATCGCAACTTCTCGTAGCGATAAAACCAAAGGCAATGGCCAACTTCTCGCTATGGTAACGCAATGCATCTTCTTTCTCCTCTTCTCCCACATCATGCAACACGTTCTTAGTATCTGGTGAGTGCCCTTCCAATCTCAATGTCCTAATAATCTTTTCTAACATTGCATAAATCTCTTTACTCCTAGAATGAGATCTATCACCCACTAAGAATTGGTGAACTATTCCCTCGATTTCTATTGAACTCCAACCTGGCAAAATCTTGATCCCTTTCTCTCTCATTGCCTTTCTCACCTTCTTGACCTCACCCCATCTCCCTGCCCCTGCATATATGTTCGAAATCAACACATAGGTAGCAGCATCTCGAGGTTCCAACTCAAGCACACGGTTCACTACCTTTTCTCCAAGCTCAAGATCACCATGAAGCTTACATGCACCAAGCAAAGCTCCCCAAACGATATTGTCAGGCTTCATGGGCATGCTCTCTATCAATTGTTGGGCCTCGATTAGGAGGCCAGCACGGCCTAGGAGATCAACCATGCATCCATAGTGCTCAACTTTGGGCGTAATATTGTAGTCTTTGGTCATGCAACCATAGAAACTTTTCCCCTCTAGCACCAACCCTGAATGGCTACATGCACTTAATATGCCTATGAAAGTAATATCGTCGGGTTTGATACCTGAGATTTTCATATTACAAAAGCAATCCATTGCCTTTGCACCAAGACCATGCATTGCAAGGCCCGAAATTATGGCATTCCATGAATCCACATTTTTTTCACGCATCATATCGAAAACTTCAAATGACTCCTCTAATCTAGCACACCTTGCATACATGTGAATCAATGCAGTACCAATATTAGCACTTAAAAAGATGTTATTTCTCTCTATGTAGCGATGAACCCACTTGCCCAGGTCAAATGCCCCCAAATTTGCAGAGACTGACAATACAGTGACCAGTATGGCCTCATTGGGTGCAACCCCATTTGCTTGCATCTCACGAAACAAATCTAAGGCTTCCTTGGACTGGTCACTGCAGGCATAACCTGAAATCATAGTGCTCCATGAGACCACATTTCTATCAGGAATTTTATTGAAAAGTGTATGTGCAATATCCAATTTGCCACATTTTGCATACATATTAACAAGAGCAGTGCTCAAATGTACACTCTGCTTTACTCCAAGCCCATCTATACTGGCATTTATTTGCTTTCCTCTCTCTAAATCTCCCAAATGGGCACAGGCCGATAATGCACAAGTAAGAATAGCATCATTGGGTTCAATCCCTGCCAGACCCATTCGATCAAGAACCCTTAAAGCTTCGTCGAATTGGCAATTTTGCACGTAACCTGCCATTAACGAAGCCCAAGTAACCGCATCTCTCTCAGGCATTTCATTGAATAGTTCTTCCGCAATTTCCATCTCCCCCACTCTTTGCATAAGCATTTATGATTGAATTCCAAGAAACCGAATCAACGCAAGACCCACCATCAAAAACCCACCGCGCGAAATCCACCTCCCCACAACATGCATAAAGATTGATGAGTGAATTTCTCACGAAAATGTCCAAGTCAAACCCTAATTTCAAAGCAAAGCCATGGCAGCTCTGCCCTAATTGAAGAGCGAGCATCCTAGCACAGGCAGTGATAGAAAATGTGAAAGTGAAATTATCGATGGATATCCCTTCGTCAATCATTCCCTTGAATAAGAGTAGAGCTTTAGAGGGAGAAGAACTATTGCCATAGCCTCTCATAATGGTGTTCAAAGCAAAGGTTTTAGGGTTCGGCATTTGAGCACAGAGTAAGGAAGCATAGTTTAAGCAGCCATTGGATGAGAGTGAACAGAAGAATATCAGCTTGTTTACAATATGGGTGTGGCTTATCAAACCAGTGGTAACCATGTGAGAATGAATATGTTTCAGGGTTGCCATGTCTGAGCATTTTTTAAGGAGATGGAGGATGGTTCTAGGGTTTATCTCTCCATATTTATGGTCAGGGTTAGGGTTAGGGTTTCTTGATGCTGGTGCGCTGAAGGAGATGCATGAGAAGAGAGTGAAGAGAAATGGCGAGGGTTTGAGCGTTTGAGACATGATTGCAAGTCTCCTCATCCCCTGATTTTGAATTCGAAAACCCAGAAAGTAGCCGTTGCATGAGAGACAGTGGCCACCATTAACAAGTACTAATAGCTAAAAAGAGAGAGAAAAAACTCATGACTATTGTTATAGAGAGAGAAAAAACTCATGACTATTGTTATAGAGAGAGAAAGGGCATAAGAGACAGAATCAACCGCATGAGTTTGCAGAGATAGGGTGTTTGCAGAAAGAGAGAGAGACAAATATAGCAAAAGTTACAGCCATTGCCAATGCCTCTCCAGAAAATAGCAGAGGGTACATAAACATATGCACAGGGCTTTGAAGGAGACCATTACCAGTCGCCTCCGGCACACACGAACCAAAAGAGAGTGAAAGCCATAGAGAGAGAAAAGAGAGTACCGTCCTTGGCGACAGGGAGATCCTCAAGAGCTTCAAAGGAGAATAACATGATTGGTAGAGCCCACTGGTGCAGCAGCAGAGAAGATCCCCAAGCGAGCGAACCCTCTCTCTCTCTTCTCTGTGTTTCTCTCTCTTCGTTTTTCCGTTGAAGTAGTTTATCGGAGGCCGAAGGATCGATCTCTTACTAATGGCTCCAATGCGTGTCCAGGATTTGCAAATTATCGTTCTCTGGTTCGTCGTGGTTTCGAATCCAATCGATAACTTATGAAATAGGTTTATATAGTTTATAACCTCCTCCTATTTAAAGATTTCGAATCCAATTAAGTAATGAAATAGGTTATAATACAACATCTCTCCTATTTATATATTCTTCCTTTTCAATAGAAAACCCCACTAAAGGTTAGAAATTTACGAAATTCTCCTAATTTTTGTATTTGAATAGAAACCTCTCTCTCCTATTTTTCGTCCTTTGTAATAGTAAAACCCAATAGAGGATAGAAATGTAACATATTTATTTAATAGGATAGTTTTTGTATTTGAATAGAAAAGCTATCTTTCCTATTTTCATTCCTTTTTAATAATAAAACCCGGATAGAAATTTTGAACTAATAGAAAAACCCTAGTTTTTGTATTTGAATAGAAAGCCTATCTCTCCTATTTTTTGTCCTTTTCAGTAGTGAAACCCAATAGAGGACATAAATTTTTAATAGAAAAACCCAATATATATCTCATATTTAGCTACAAATACACCATTTATCTTTGGAAAAAAATTATATAGAGCCAAGTCTCTAAACAATCATATTAGAGGCCAACTCAATAATTTTATTGTAAAGGGTTGTTTGGATGCCCAAAAAATCCTCAAATTGATCATCTTGATCTCAAGATGCATGGACATGAGAAAAAAAATGGATTTCAAGTTTTGGAAATAGTGCATCTTGTAATGCATTTTTTTACCGTCAATTTTCAATATTTTAAATTTCATATATTTGCTCAATCTATGTTATTTTTTAAGCCTTAAATTTTATAATTAGAGATGAAAATATATTTTAAGGCTATCACAAATGTTTGCAGTATTAAAACCACATTTTTCGACACTATTTGATGGTGTGTTTTACTTTGATTGTTTAGAACCTTGGATCTATACAACCGCACCATGTTTATCTTTTGCACATGGAGTTCACAATTATTCCTACACTTTAGATGTCAAATTGGATGGCTTGAGGTGAATCAAGAAATCTAATAATTTTTGTTTTTGAACGTTGTATATGTTCAATGATACTCTCACAACCACTCATTTTGAAATTGAAAGGACAATAATAATTGTGGCGTTTATGTACAAAATATAAATGATATTTTTATAAACAATCCCATATACCTCTCCTATTTTTATTCGTTCTTAATAGAAAACTACAAAAATAATAATAATAATAAAAATCCAATGCATGTCTCTCCTATTTTTATTATTTTCTTAATGGAAAAACTCAATAGAGGTTAGAAATTTCTGAAATTCCTCTAACGTTTTTTATTTTCAATTCGTACTTTAGGAACGACTGGTATGGGTTTGTCTCGATTTTATCATATACGACAAGTTGTTAGCTCATTGTTAGAGTGCATCATTGATAATTGCGTTTTTATGCCTAGGCGGTGAGGGTCTTAGCCATATAGATAGTTCAATGTGCTCATTAGCACCTAATTTGGAGATGTGGATCATCCAAGGCACATTAATATGGTATACTCTTTTTATGTGAGCCGAAGGTTGAAACGTTTTCAATTTTTTAATTTTTCTCCAAAATGTCCCCACTTTGTAGTGGAAATGTCTTTGGATCAGAGTCTAAATTCATTTGGCTTTGGATTGTGAAGATCCAAAGCCAATAAAATGACTTAATTTATTCAACTTCACATCTTGAAGTCCACACATAATGAATATTTTTTATATGTGATTTCGAATCTTAAATTCATTTAGCATTGGATTGCGAATATCCGAAGCCAAGAAAATGACTTAATTTATTCAACTTCACATCTTGAAGTCCACACATAATGAATATTTTTTATATGTGATTTCGAATCTTTGAGGTAAAGCTAAAAATTTAGGAAAAATTATAAATACCCCTCAAAATAAACTTTTTACCTATCCTAACTCCAATATTTTTTATACTATACCCTAAATCCTAATACTATCTTTCGTTGTATTTACCCCAAGTCAAAGGTCAATGAGTTTTGAGAAAAATTTGTCGTTTTTATTTTTCTACCCCTTTTGAGGCTCGACTGCAAAAAAAAATTCAGTCCACCAAGAAGTGTGTCGGACCTCATAACAAAAAAGAAAAATTACATAAAACCCCTCAAAATCAATTTACCCCACCTAACTTTTTATAGCAATTTCCCCCCTAAAAACATGTTCCCTATTAAATACCCCCAATACAAAAAGTTCATTTTTTTTTGAAGAAAATACCCTTCTGTATAGAACAGACCATTATCAGATCCCAGTTAAAGGAAACGCCGAACTGCACTTATACAACGTCGAATTGCTCATTTCAAAACACCAGACCGCCACTTTAAAACGTCGGACTGCCCCCGTATTACCACTTCAAAACGCGGTACTACCCCTTTAAAATACTAGACCGCTTTTTCAAAATGCAGGACTACCCATTTCTCCAATAGCATAATCCTCGGACCGCCACAATGAAACACCGGACCATCCATTATAGTAAAATAATCGTCGGACCGCCATCTCCAGCGAAAATGATTTGTTATGTATGGAAATGTTATTTTCGTCAAAAAAAAAAAAGAACTTTTTGTATTTGGGGTATTTGCTATGAAACATGGTGTTTTAGAAAAAGTTGCTAGAAAAAGTTAAGTTGGGGGTAAATTGATTATAAAGTCCATTTTGGAGGGTTTTATACAATTTATCCTAAAAAAAATTGAGAGAAAAAAAAGTAAGGGAGGGTAGAGAGAAATGGTGAGGAGGGTAGGAGAGAAAGAGTGAGGGAAGGTAGAGATATAAAGAGAGAGTGAGGACGGGTGGTGAGAGGTAGAGATAGAAAAAAAATATATGAAGACGAAAAAATATAAAAATAGCAAGTTTTCTCACAACTCATTAACTTTTTGATTTGGGGTACAGACAAGAAAAAACAATATCGAGGTTTAGGGTATAATTCAAAAATGATTGAAAGAAGGATGTGCAGGAAGTTGATTTTGAGGATACCTATAATTTTCCCAAAAAATTATTTCTTAACTTCAGACCATTAAGGATCAAGGTCTAAACTCAACCAAGATATTGAATGATCTAAAATAATATCTTTACCACTTAGGACCTAGATCAAAAGGGTGGCATTTTCGAAAAAATAAGGAATTTTTTTTTTGGAGGGGTGGGGGAGGGAGGAATATTTTGGGGGAATGAAAGTAAATTTCTCTATATAATGCCAAAAATTATCTCTTCGGGTATTGGGCAAGACTCGATTTAGGAGTATTACTAGGATTCTAAATTTTAGAAAGTAACCTCTTTGACCAACCTCAATAAAGAAAAAAAAAAGAAAAGAATCATTGAATATAACAATTGTGTATGCCATTTTATATGTGGCCCTAAAAGGTAATATCACTGGACATGGACACCATCTAATCAGATCGAAGTGTTTCATAACTAAAAATTCAACTTTTCAATGAAATATTCATATTGTAATTCTAAAATGGACCCCAAACTTCAAATACGAAAAAAATAGGAAGTGAAATGTGTGGTGTGCCCGGAGGTTGCGATGGATGTTGGAATAGATCAGGGTAAGGTTTTTGGCCCTGTAAATTCATCTGATTATTTATCATCTCTATGAGAAACCCCTTTGATGCTCTCTCAACATCCATTTTCAGCCTTAATTAAGAGTTTTAAGGTTTTAAAAAATGTTACAAATAGATGTATAAGACTAGAAAATATTAAAAATTAATAGTTTTGATAATATGTTACAAGATGTACTATCTTAAGTTTTAAAATCATTAATTTTCTTTCATATCCATACAATTGGCAGAAAATCCATTTCCGCTTTTATTTATCAATTTTAAAGCTCATATAATGATTCAGATGGAGTAGACATATAAACGTGTAACAAATTTTTAAAATGAAGAGTGTAGACAATGTGTTACATGACGCACTATCTTAGGATTCAAAATCATTGTTTTTTTCCCATATCTATACAATTGAAAGTCGAGATGATTAGTTGGAAAATTATCTGGCGTTGAAACAGCCCTTTCCTTATGAATTTTTAAGGTGTTGCCTTGTTTTCATGTTACAATATTTAAGCATTATATACACGTTCCCCTTTTTTAAAAAAACAATGAACTTAAAATCTCTATATGGCATGCTAATTATTTATTTGTTGATGTCCATCATCCAAGAATTAATTTCAAGACAGGTTATGCCCGGGATCATATAACCTTTTCGAAAAAATAGGTTTTTTATTTATTTATAAAATGTTATATAAGGTATCAACCTTGTACTATATATATATATATATATATATATATATATATATAATATGAGACTATTTACTTTTGATATTATGGAGTCATAGTTATCATTGACCGTTAGATGAAAAATCAGGCGGTTGAGAATGTATATTTAGTTGAGCACAAAGTCTAAATTTTCTCAAATGTTGTGACACACTTCAATCTATTGATTTTCACATCTAATGGCTAAAAATGTTTGTGACCTCCTTGTATTAAAAATAAATAGTCTCATAGTATACAATCTTTTTAAAATGTATCGAAAATGTTATTTCGATGGTAGAAAACATGTTATATCAAGCTCAAAAATATATGAATATTAATAAAGTAATAGATTTCAAATCCTAAAAATAATGCATCTTGTAACATTTTATCTAGACCATTAATTTCTAAGACTTTCAAGTATTTATACACATGCGCTATTCAAATGATTTCAAGTTTAAAATTTCATAATTAACAGTGGAAATAGAGATTTAAGCTATCATGAAGATTTCCAACATCGAAACTCGATCTTTCTGGAATGGGGTTGAGGATACTTAGGCTATTGTAAAAATTTCCAACATCAAAATTGGATCTTTTGAGAATGGGTTTGAGGTTGTGATGGTAGCACCACCTAAGCCGTTGCTAGGTTTCTATTGAGATAACGCATTCACAACTATTTCTAATATGCTATTATAATAATAATAATAATAATAAAACACACTAACAATTTCCATAACATGCAGAGATCCAAGGCCGACTCCAACGCAAAGTGTGCCCTCTGATTTTATCTTTCACGATCTTCTCGCTCTAGAAAATAAAATTTATATTACGAAATCCATGCGTGTTGGTGATAGGGTTAGGGCACAAGTGCTATTATTTGAAAAATTTAGATAATTTGGTGTGTTTATCTTTCTCTCTCTAAAATTCTGGGGCCTCACGCCCTGTAGAAGGAGGAGTTTAAGGAGAGGCTGTTAAGGGTTCTATTCTATTGAATTGGCAACCATACAAGGCACTGTTTCTTCTCCTCATCTAAGAGTGAGACCAGGAACGAGAGAATACCTCCCTCTTTACAGAACTTGTTAATAGCCTCATCAGGTATGAGCACTGCAAGCTAACCTCAAAATTGCATCATGAATGATATTTTTATGGTATTTAATCCTATACTTTTCTCTAATATTTTCCAGTATCTGAATCCAGGTTTGGGAAAATACCTCTTCCAAACCTGTAAAAACCACTTATTTAGTTTTTTTTTAGAGTTTTTTTGGTAAGCTAGGGTTTGCTTTTATCACCTCGTTACCTTTTCATCAGTTGTAACCATGGGAATTTGAGTGATTTTCATGTAATTTTGTGGTTTTTAGTTTGTGCCTATGAAACTTGTAGAAATATAGTTTTGAATCGCTGTATTATGTAGCAATCTGCAAAAGAAAGTTAGAAAATATGGAAAACAGATAGAAGAGAAGAAGTTTATTGCGGAAACATGGATTTTGAATATCCCGAGATTTGACGTGAACCCAGATCTAATAAAGTTGTTTTGGTTATGAAATCCAGCTTATTTTGAGTTTCTACCCATCACTAAACTCTAGCCTTGTATTACTCTGAGGAAGCACGTACGCTTTTTTTCAGGGTGTACTTTCTACGCACACACTATTCTCATTGCACGCAATATTAGGTATTTGTTTTATTATTACATTGTTTTGTTCACCAGCAAGATAGTGACTCAGTCAATTTTGTTGCAAATTTCCAGGTTTTTAATGTGGTTACTAAGAATTTACCAATGGTAGACTCTTCACACTAGCAATTGTAGCTGGGAGTGCTTTTGCAATGTATTCTAGAAGGCTTAGGTGCAAATGCCAAAATGGGGTTACTTTTCTCCGACAAATTCATGATTTGATCAACTTACAGGGCTATGAGTGTAGGGGATTATGCAGGTCCCATTTTTGGGCTCCCCCAAATTCTCGATCGCTTAAGACTGATTCTTCTAGAGTTCCGGATTGGCCTGATAGGGGGGCTTCTAGTGCAAGTGGGAGTTTTGATCTTTGCTGCCGAATATTTCCAAGAACTTTACAGTACTCTCCAATAAATTTCACAAACACTTATGGGATTAGGAGCCCTTTGTATTTGTCATCGCAGTCTAGGTTTTATAGTTCAGATGGTGACGGAAGGAATGCAAGTGAGGGAAAACATGTGCCTGTTAAAGATACCAGTGATATAGATAAGACAGTGAGTGGCCATATTAATGATCATGGTGGAGTTGGTAAGTCACAAGGAGAGAGAATTAATGGGGATTTGAGGTATTTTACTGACCATGCTCAGTTCGGTGAGCAAGATCAGAAAGAGTGGCTGCTTAGTGAGAAATCATCTATGGAGAGCAAGAAGAGAGAGTCACCATTCCTTTCCAAGAGGGCGAGGTTCAAAAATGAGTTCTTGAGGCGGGTGGTTCCATGGGAGAAGATCAATGTCTCCTGGGAATCATTTCCCTATTTCATCCAGTAATATATCAACCCATCTCTCCCTCTCTTCCTCTCTCTCTCTCTCTCTCTCTCTGTGTGTGTGTGTGTGTGTAGTGTATGTGTTTGTGCTAATATTGCTAATATTTCATTCTTTATTATGTGTTGGTTTTGCAGTGAGCATACTAGAAAGACTCTGGTGGAATGTACGGCTTCACATTTGAAACACAAGCGATTTGCATCACAATATGGTTCCCGCTTGAGTTCTTCTTCGGGAAGAATCTTGTTACAGAGTATTCCAGGTGCTTGTAATGGGAAATTGTGGCTCATGATGCTTTTACTTATTTTATTTCTTTCAGTGTACTTACAGCTAATAATCTGACTGATTTTTGCAGGAACAGAGCTCTATAGGGAAAGGCTAGTCAGAGCTCTAGCACGTGATATGCAAGTCCCTTTATTAATACTAGACAGCAGTGTTCTTGCCCCTCATGTAAGATAAACTTCTGTGATTTTCTTGAGATGGTGTTCTTTTTTTATCAATAGCTTTTTATTATCTATAGCAGTCAGTTCTCCACAAATAAAATATAAAGTATCAATTTGTACATGGGAAGCTCTATTTTGTATGGGATTCAAACCTAGAAATTCAAAGTTGAAGGAATGAAAGTATGGTGAACAATCAAGAAAAATATTGGCTGGAACAGATTAGTAATGTTTATTGCTACTTATGATCACATACACTAATGAGAATTAGGAAGCATTGCTAATATTAATCATATTCTTCATTAAACACTAAATAACTAATTACATTGTTTTTTTGATAATGTTAACCTTTAAGATGTGAGAGAGAATATTACAAGAATTCTTGGCAATCCACAAGCGAGGATGCTCAAGGACGAGAAGAAACAAAAAGCAGAATCAAAATCCTCTTTTAGAGGTTACAGCGAGGCACAACAACCTAGGAAAACAGGTTGATTCGCAACACGCAAGGAAAGGCCAAAAAACCAAAATAACATATCTAAACGTTATCCATCGCCGCTGCTTCTTTAGCCAGGGAGCCAGGGTCCTGATTTCCTTCCCTCCAGTAGTCAGCATACTGATTCATTAATTAATTACATTGTTAATGTCATGCTATTACCGTGCAGGACTTTGGTCGAGAATGTGCATCAGAGAGTGATACAGATGATGAAACTGCAGAAACAGGGGAAGAATGCACTACAGAGTCGGAGGTTGAGGATGAAAATGACGCGAGCAATGAAGAAGAATGGGCAAGCAGTAGTGAAATCAAGTCTGATAGTGATGAAGATGAGGTTGAGGCAAGGGCTGCTGAAGCTCTCAGGAAGCTTGTGCCATATACCATTGAGGACTTTGAGAAGGTAATGGTCCTATGTCATGTTATGGACCCATTGGAAGATTTTGAACGTAATGGATTAGCATAGATGGGCTCTTTGAATAGCTTGATTCATACTTTTGAGTCTGCTTTATTGCACTGAACCTTTTGACTCCTTGATTATTGATTTCGCTTCAGATATGTGGTAAAGGCCCTCTTTTATAGTATATACAGTGGCCTCGTAAACTCATCTTTATAGTTTAAAGACACTTGCTTTACTTGTTATGCTTGTTAATTAAATTTTAATGACTAAGGTTGGGTTGCACCATGAAGAACACGATTTGCCAACTTGCATAGCATCTTTATCAACTCTTTAGCCTTTCCTTGAAATGTTACATTGCTAAAGAGTATCCATTAGATCATATAAATTCGGACCACACGAACCAGGGATAAATCAAAATGCATCACTCCAAGTTACAGGGAAAGAAGTATATCTCTTGTATCCAGTTTGATGAAGTGATCTTGAAGTTGTTGTGCCTAGGCTGACCGATTTGCCAAATTGAGCTTTATATTCCCAACTTGAAGGGGATCCCATCTCTCGGCTAGGGTCTGAGCCTAGTGGATTCTGTCAATTCTTGAGTCTCATTTCTGATTTTTATAAAAAACTTATCTTTATTTACTGGAAATGCCTAGTGAACACCTGTAGCAGTGAGAGTGCGAGCACGTAAAGAAATGATTTCTGATTAGAAACTGCCTATGAATTGCATGGAATATTAGCTTTGGGAATGGGACTACTACCCATGTGCAAGGTTTCTAAATTAATTTAATTTTTTTACCATTTCTTCATCGTCTTCTATATTGTGCTGAAAAATACATCGGTTTATTGTTTCTTCACTATTTTGGTCAAATTTGTTTCATGGAAGAGTAGATGTAATATTTCTTCATAAAGAGAAGGGCAGATGTAACGTTTCTAATATATTATACTGGGGCTGCTAAGTTGCATCGTAGTTTCTAACTTTAGATTGTGATACTTTATAGAGAGTATCAGGAGCAGAGGCTGAAAGTAGTGGTGCATCAACAAAGTCAGATCCTGCTGAATCTTCACAGCAATCAAAACAACCCCTTAAAAAAGGTTGATATTTCCTGTTTACTTTGTTACTTTTGCTTCTTCTTTGGATGAAATTTTTTAAATATAGTTGCTGCTGTCCCTCTATGTGTCCTCTAATTGCAATCCTTCCAAGGAACAGGTGCTTACTGCTGTTGTTTCTGTTAACATTTAATGTAACAAGTAACTGGAAAAAGTCATCCTTTATGTGCCAATGGAATTCTCCATGTCCCTTATCTGGGAATTGCAAAACTAGGGTGAGATGGAGATTGGGTTCCTCCAACACATGCAGCATGAAGGACTATCTAGGACTTTTAGTATTTCCCAAAACACTGTTGACTGTTGACTATATTATCGACTCCATTAAGAATCTTTATACTAAACAACAAGAACACACGAACAAAATAATCTTCATTGTTATTCCGGCATTTCAGTTTCTTATTTGTAGTAGTCTAACTTTGTTGTTCATTTCCTTATTAGGAGACCGTGTCAAGTACGTTGGTGCTTCTATACCTGATGCTGTTAATAACCGGTGTGTTCCTTGTTCCTTGCCCCTTGCTCAAATGGACATGCATTTTGAAACAATAAAGTGGTTGAGCTTGCTTTCTACAATGCTGTGAAGCAGTGTGGATTCATTATTGAGGTCACTGTGATTTTTTCTTGCAGATCCATTATTACTACCATGCCTTCAAAATATTTATATGATGATATGATACATTTTGCCAGACTATGGATATTGTTCAGAACTGAGATGCATAATTTTGCACTAAATCCTCCACTTACCTATAACTCCCTTGAAGTTGATTGTACTGACACATGGTCTGGAAAATTTTTCATGGCACCGACGCACTAGATGTGGTTCCACAAGAGACATGTATGCTATTGATCTATGCAGCAATATAATAAAATTAAAAAACTAAAAAAATAGGAAACGCTCTATGAAGATGGTTTAGGAGTGTGGACTAATAAGACACATGGATGCCTATAATAACAAAAATGTGAATACTGGCCATTTAACAAACAAAAGGGAAGAATGTGGACGACAAAACGTTGAGCTATAGATGCCCTTGAAGGAGAAGATATTCCAGGACATGTACAGCTTTTCCCATGGCCAAATGTACCTTGTTGTTTTGCAGAACTGCTGATTGTGTTCCTGTTTTGGAGTGGGTGTGTTGAAAATTGAATTTTGTCAGATGTTTCTGAGTAAAAAGTTACTAGCCATGAAACTGAGATGCTATTTGTTTATATGGGTATCGTGCAGTGATGATAAAGGGACCATAGAATTTTTGGGTTTGCTGCTAGTACTTTGTTGTGATTGCATGCAACTCCGATATTTGGAATAAAGTTTTGGTTCATGATTCTCATTCGGCATGCTTCAACAACTTGTACTGGAGTGTTTTTATCCGTTTAAGATTGAGATATTTTTATAAGGGTTTGTGGACAATGGCCAATGCCTGTTTAAAATGTTCTAAGGGAACATGTGGAGTTGCATTAACCTAAGAAAAATCAAAATATTGATTATGTAATTTGTTTAAAGCTGGCTATTGGTTTATTTGTTGGATTTGTTTTTCCGCTTTTCATTTGATTAGGTTAGTGAACTTTGTGGACTTTGATGTTCTGCTTTAAGTATTTGGTTTCTAGTGCCTGATGCCTATCAGTATTGGCTCTGACCACTGGAGACATAAATCACTATGGGCATATTTGCACATAATGTGATAAACTATGACTAGGTTATGCAAGCAGTAAGTTTGAAGTCTTGCCGTGTTCATGCTTTGACTGCTGACTTTGCAGATGAATCTAGGGATGTGGGGAGCCCAATTAATGAGTGGATAATTTATAAATGGTAGTCATAGCTAGTGCTTAGCATATTCAGCCAAGGCTATATATAAAGAAAGATAGTTGTGTAAAATTTCCACATTTCTGTGTATGCTGGGAGATGGTTGATGTGTTACCCTCAAGATGAATGCAAATGACTCTAACTTCAATGTTGAAATGTGTTGAATCTCTTTGGTTTGGGTATATGAAAGTTCCAAAAACTTAGGCTCAGATTGGAATTAGGCCTGGCCCCTAGATGAGTTGACTTGCCGAGTCTTTTCCTTGTGAAATTTAAAGATACCATTCAATATTTGTTTCTTTAAAGGTCATTGAAAGATTCCCACCCAATTCCTTCAAAAATCTTGACGAGCATCTATCAGGCATTCTTTTTCCTCCCTTCAGCAATTGTTGATGTTTTAGTGTATTCCTTGTCAACTTGGAGATTCTCATGTCTTAAATCAGGAGTAAATTTTTAAACATTTGTGCGACTCTTTGGCTTCTTCCTTTGCTATGCAAACTGTAACATAAACGGATTATCTGATTTTTCTGCTTATCGATTTTAGATTGGGTCTCCTGCACCACAAGAACGGCAGTCATTATTATTAAAATGTGAGGTCGTTATCTATCTAAACTGTATTGGAATTCACTTCATGGTTCATTTTATATCTGTTACACAACTCTCCAGTCTCCATTGTTGGGTTTAATGATTTATGTATATTGTAAAAGAAAACACTTAGCTGACTTTTGATTTGGTTGGTATTGTGGACCTTGGAACTGGTTCGCATATGAATTTAGAGTAGCGTCACTGACTCATTCAGCTTGCATATTTATTCAAAATCCTTTTTCTTGAAGATGTACACCCTCCATGCTGAACTACTTTTTTCAACTCCTAATATTTGGCATATATATTTCATCACAGGATTATTCTTGGGAAAATACCTACAACTCATGGCCCAACTAATGCATTTACATATCTCAGTGGCAGGTGGGTTGGTAAGTCTACAGTGTATTCGGAGTACTGCTGTTGGCTAGAGAGTCTTACCGAGATTTCCTTATTTCACATCCCTGGATCTGCGTTATTCTTTAACAAGTTTTTTAATTTGCTGTCAAATTGTTCCCTCATATTGTTCGACGTACTTTATACTGATGTGAGGTTCCAAGAAAGTGCAAGAATATCAAGGTTCTATGGTCTAGAATAAAATTGTCACCAAATTTAACATTCACTGTTTGATAAGGTCTATGTCCCTTGTAACCACTGGACTCCTTTATGGAAATGCGCCTGGTACCAGGTGTAATTTATGAATACGAGGAAAGTAGATATCTTTTGGTGCCATGCATTCTTCTGTGCGGTGTTCCAACAATCTATGTTTAGCTGTGAATACGTTCCCAGGTTGGGTTTGGCTTTGAATGCCCTCGTATTTCTTCTAGAGCATGGCGATGGAAGAATTTCTATTGGGAAGAGGCTTCTTTGGTTTATGGCATGGGGTTGCATTGTATTCAAGTGACAGATGGCAGCTGTGGCTGTATTTTCTAAAACGCCTTGTGATTATAGAGCCATAGAAAGAATAATGCTTTTGTATCATGTATATATAAAATGTGATGAATGTAATAACATCATGAATAATTGAAGGAGTTCTTGAAGTGAAGGTTTGGTGGTCAAGTTTCAAAGTTTGGGATTGACATCATAGATAATTACATGTTATGGAGATATTTGGCTATGGAACGGAAGAAATTATCTTACATGATCTATGTGTGAAGTAGTGTTTAAAAAAATGCTAGGCGGCACCTACGCAGTCGGGGGGGTCCAGGCCGCCCAGTGCCTAGGCAGGCCCAATAGAAGTTGTTTTTTGGGTTTTAGGTTTCAAATGAACCTAAAACCCACAATTTTACCCTTTTAGTATTAAGAAAATGACCTCAACGAGGGGCATTTCCGTCCCTGGGCGGGGGGCGTAGGCCCTAGGCGGGGCAGGCGCCTGGAATATCCATCGCCCAGGCCTTCTGGACCGCCTGGGCGGCCACCCAGGCGCTGAGCAGTCCGCTTTTTAAAACACTGGTGTGAAGTTCTCTTTTATTTTTCTTTTCCTTGATGGATTCACATAATCTATTTATTGTGGCAGCATGGCTTTGGGCTGTGGGCTTTTGAAGTTTGCCGAGCATAAAGCTTCGTTTGTTTCATCCTGAAAACTGTTAAGCTATATGATGAAGAATTTCAAATATTTTGAGGAAATTTTGTATTCATGTTTCTCTAATGGTCGATAGGGATCTATTATGTAATTGGAATTGAAAAAAGATGAAAGAGTGGCAGGAAAAATATGCATAAAAGAGAACAGGCAGGGAATGCAATTAAACTGGTCATTTTCCTTGATATTTTCTTTCATATTATCATCTCCACTCACTAGTGTGGCAGTTGCACTTGGCCTTGCTTGCATGTTTTCTATATTATGCGATGTCGAGTTGTATGAGTTAATAATATATCGTACGATGGATCTGTAGTTCTTCTTTGTTATTTAGTGATCGTCGTCTCTCAGCTCCCTCAATTATGTCTGAGTTGCATTGCATGCTTTCATAAGTTCCTCTCGAAATACTATTTTCTGCAAATGCTTAGTTAACAGTTTGGTTTTGCTCAGGCCCTTGTCAAGTGGTCAACGCGGGGAGGTATATGAGGTTAATGGGGATCAGGTTGCTGTAATTTTGGATCACAGTGAGAAGAAAACTAAGGATGAAAAGAACGGTGAAGTTACTGAAGATGCTTCTAAAGCACCAGTTTATTGGATTGACAGTACGTTCTCGATTTTAAATATGTACTAACACACCTTGATAAAGAACTTCTATTACCTATAAAAGAAACTACTTCTTCTGAACACATTCCTGAATAGAAAAGAGATCCCTGATTAGCAGCTACTAATGCTTCGTGTACCTAGGTAACCATTATGGATGTTAAACATGGTAGGCTTTTCACTCTATTTGTGCAATTCATATCTATGGCTATTAAACATGGGACGATTCCTATTCTATTTGTGCAATTCATATTGGATGTTATATGAAATATGCAATTCTTGATGGCTGATTAGACACTCTTCTTTGTGGGTTTCATTTTATGAATGGTTTAGACCTTAAATTAGGAATTATGGTTGTGTTTTGGTTTATTGAAGTAATTAGGAACTTCTATGACACATGGCCTCTGGAAACCAAAATTTTGCATTGCTATGCTAGAATTGAGTTTTCTTTATAATGTAGTGGATGATGTTTTCCGTTCACCATATGCTTTGCATTATGCTTGCTAGATCATCATCATCATCATCATTTTAGCCTTTTCCCAATTAATTGGGTCAGCTATATGAATTTTGGTTATCCATTCTGTTATATTAAATGTCACATCCTCAATGAGGCCATAAGTTCCCATGTCTTTTCGGACTACTTCCAACCATGTCCTTTTAGGCCAACCCCTTGCCTTTTTTAGTCCTTCCACTTGAACTAATTCGCATCTCCTAACAAGTGTTGTACTTGGTCGGCACCACACATGTCCAACCCACCTAAGTCTACTCTATCTCATTTTATCGCTTATTGGTGCCAAGCCTAAATTCTCTCGAATAGATTCATTACGAATTCTATCCCTTTTGTCTTGCCACTCATCCATCTCAACATCTTCATCTCCGCTACACTCATTCTATAGGTGTATTGTTTTTTATCCGCCCAACTTTCCTCTCTATAGAGCAAAGCTAGTCTCACCGCTGTCCTATAGAACTTTCCCATCAGCCTCATTGGTATGCGGCGATCACATAAAATTCCAGTTGCAGATCTCCACTTCGCCCACCTAGCTCTAATTCTATGCGCGACTTCTTAGTCGAAGCCTCCATTTTTTTAGATTATCAACTAAATATATTGAAAGTACGGTTTTTTTTGTACTTCCTAGCTGTCAATCTTAACTACTTCCTGGTCTCTACTCCTATTATTACTAAATTTGCACTCTATATACTATGTCTTAGTCTGAATAATTTTAAAACCCTTGGATTCTAAAGCATCTCTCCAAATTCTAACTTTGTGTTGATGCCGTTTCGGGTCTCATCAATCCGTTTCGGGTCTCATCAATCAAAACTATGTCATCTGCGAACAACATGCACCATGATACCTCATCCTGTAGGTGCTTAGTTAAGTCGCCCATAACTAAGACAAAGATATACGGGCTCAATGCTGATCCTTGATGTAGAACTATTGTCATTGAAAACTCACTCGTCTCTGCCCTTGTTCGTACACTAGTAACTGCTCCATTGTATATATCTCTCTCCAAGGCTATGTGTCTAGAGACACCTTTATTTTCCAACACCCGCCAAATCAAATCGTGAGGTACTTTATTATAAGCTTTCTCTAGATCAATAAAGACCATGTGGAGGTCTTTCCCTTCACCCTAAACTTCTCAATCAGTTGCTTAAGTAGGAAAATAGCCTTAGCTACTGACTTTCTTGGTATAAAACCCAATTGGTTTTCAGATACACTCGTTTCATGCCTTAGTTGTTGCTCAATGACTCTTTCTCAAAGCTTCGTATTTATGACTCATAAGCTTGATCCCGCGATAGTTTGTACAATTCTGTATGTCTCATTTATTCATGTAAATAAGTACTATAATACTTTTTATCTATTCGTCTGACATTTTCATTGTTGTCAACACCTTGTTGAACAACTTTGTTAGCTAGTCAATGTCAATTTCCCCCATGCATTTTGAAACCTCTATCGGGATACTGTTTGGTCCTAAAGCCTTTCCTATCTTCATCATTTTCAACGCTTCTTTCACTTCCGACATCCTAATCCTACGAATGTATCTATGACCTCTGCCATCACTTGTACCAACAGTCCCTTCAACCACTACGTTCCCATTTTGTTCGTTATTTAATAATATTTGAAAATAGAGTCTCCACTTTTTGTTGATCTCATCATCTTTTATCAAGACCCTTTGATCCTCACTCTTAATGCATTTAATATAGTTTAGATCCTTCATTTTTTCTCTTTTATTTTTGCTAATTTGAAGTTGTATTTTCACCTTATTTTGTTCCCAATTTATTGTGTAGATTATCATATGCCTTAAGTTCAGCTTTAGTTACTATTTGTTTAGCATTTTTATATTCTTCTAAGTTTTGAACTTTTGATCATTTCTATTACACTGCCAAGTTTTATAACATGTTTGTTTTTTGCTAATGGCCTTCTAAACCTCATCATTCCACAACCAAGTTTCCTTATTGAAGTTTCTTGTCCCTCTAGATTCTCCTAAAACTTCTTTTGTCACTTTCTTGATACAGTCAGCCATCTCATTCCATATTACATTGGCATCATGTTCAAAGTTCTATTTTCCTTTTTCAACTAATTTATCCCTAAATAAGTCAATTATCTCATTTTTTAAATTCCACCACCTAGTTCTTGGACCCCCATTACTTTCATCCCTTCTCCTCCATGCCTTTATACAGACGTCCATAACTACGAGCTTATGTTGGGTAGTCAAACTCTCTCTTGGGATAACCTTGCAGTCTTTGCATGATGGTCGATCTACCTTTTTAACTAGGAAGAGGTCTATTTGGCTTTTATGTGTTCCACTTTTGTAGGTTATTAAATGTTCGTCTCGCTTTTTAAAGTAAGTGTTTGCTATTGCTAGGTTGTAGGCCATAGCAAAATCTAGAATAGTCTCACCCATCTGATTTCTTTCCCCAAATCCATATCCTCCATGTGCCCCTTCATATCCTCTACTATCCTTCCCTACATGACCATTTGGGTCCCCACCTAAAAAAGGTCCTCTCTCTATTTGGTATGTCCATCTATGTCCTCCCAAAATTGTCTCTTAATTCTATCATCGAATCATCCTACTTGTGGTGCATAAGCACTAATTATGTCAATTATCTCTTCTTTTAATACAAGTTTAATTAATAAGAGCCTATCACCTATTCTTTTGACATTAACTACTTTATCTTTTAAATCTTTATCTACTATTATTATCCTTTCCTGTATACCATAGTTTATACGCATCTCTCTCTTTAGATTTTTCTCCTTTCCATTTAATTTCTTGTAGACAAGCTATGTTTACTCTCCTTCCGCTCATTGTATCGACTAACTCTACACTCTCACCTGTAAGCGTTCCTACGTTCCATGTAGCTAAACGAATCCTATTATATTGGACTAACTTCTTTGCCCGCGCTCGTCTAGAGTGTTGCGGGAACTCTTATCTATTTTTGACCACAACCAGGTGGCGCTGCGGCTTGTCGCTTTTAGGGAATGCCCTAGCTACCCCTTGCTCATTTCTCACTATACGTGGGTTTCGGTACAACGCATCGCTTCCGGGGAGCGCCCTAGCATAAGCAGATACATAAGTTTATCAAGATTCATGATGGGTTTTAGCGATTTTATATTGGCTGCCTACCTAATACAGCCATGCCCCTTTACCCGGGCATGGGATGGGTTAAGGGAAGTTTAAGGTCTTCACCCTTCTTAGACCAATTATGCTTGCTAGAAATGTTTTGCAAAAAAATCATTTTCTTCATTTTCTTCCATTTCTGATGGCCGATAAGACATTCCTCTTTATGGGTTTCATTTTATGGATGGATTGGGTTTCAATATAAGAAAAATGGATGGTTGATATTTTGCTTCATTGAAGTCATTTAGATGTTTGGTTGCACATTGGTTCTATTAATTCTGCATTCCCCCATCAGGAATGAAACTTCTTCACAATGCAGTAGATGCTTTTCTGATCGTGTTTAGCATTGCATCGGCATCCTAGAATGGTCTTTGAACTTTATTTTCTCCCATTTTCTGTTCTCTAGATTCATGAACTTTGTTTCCTTTTTGCCCCAGTTCACGACCTCGAACATGATCTGGATACCCAGACGGAGGATTGGTACATTGCAATGGAAGCCCTTTGTGAGGTAACTTGCTTGACCTAGCTGATAGACTTGTTTGACAAATAAATTCTGCTTAAAACCAGTTTTATTTTCCCTTTTCAAATGGACTGGAGAAAGTTTCAGTAGGTTTTGCTATTACATTCCTAGTGGGGATTGCTTGATCTTACTTAATTCTATGTTAATTGTCAGCTAGAATCAGTTAACTTATTAGGACATGTTGGGTATATTATGGTTAAAGAGATTTTTCTGTCCTCTTTGTACAGGTTTTGCCATCTTTACAGCCAATTATTGTTTACTTTCCAGACACTTCACAATGGTTGTCGAGGGCAGTTCCAAAGTCAAGCCATAAGGAATTTGTCCTTAAAGTAGAGGAAATGTTTGACCAATTATCAGGGCCTGTTGTTTTGATTTGTGGGCAGAACAAAGTAGAATCGGGGTCCAAGGAGAAAGAGAAATTTGTAAGTTTTTCTATTCTTGGCAAATTGGGGAAATTTGTTGCTTATAATGTTATTTTTCTGAGGATGCTTATTTCCTTTTATGTTGTATTACAGACAATGGTTTTACCTCATTTTGGTCGTCTCGGTCGGCTGGTAATTTCTTATGATCTTATTTTATTCATTATTTTGTTTATATGGACTTTTAAGTCTGAGAGTTGCCATTCTTCAATACCTTTTACTGGGATTTACATTCTTTGATTGCTCTCTATTATTTGTTGTATGCGAAACTTCTGGAAGCATGGATTTTCAGCCTGTGGAATTGGTTATATTGTTTACCTTTTTTTATTTGTGACGTGCTTATTTCATCATGCCTTTTTCATTTAATATTCTTATTTGATGAGAAATAACATCCATTGTCTGTATCAATGTTATTAACTTGGTATTCGGCCTTCATGCCATGTGATGTGACTCGGCTTGGATTGATTTCTTCTATAACTCAGTTTGTATATTATATTACATAAATACATACAGCTCATGTTTTCATAAGAGTTCATAAAAGCTTGCACAAACCATGAAATATCTGGGGACCTGCATTCATAGTATACTTGTTGCTTGATTTAATCATGTCTAAAACTGAATAAATGGCATATGTCGTCGTAATTGTTTAAAACATCATTGGTAGGCATTAAAAATTACTAGCTATTGCACTCCAGATTTATTCAACTTTTGTGCTCCTTGTTGTTTATTGAATGAACCATATTGTGGTAGTGTTGATGATGTTCGCCTATATGTTTTTTCACTTCAATCAATTTTTTTTTTGATAATTTGTATTGTTATTTGATTTCTTTCACAGCCTGTTCCATTGAAGCGACTTACAGAGGGATTGAAGGCTACCAAAACATCAAAGAATGATGACATATACAAACTTTTCATGAATGTCATAAATATCCAATCGCCAAAGGTTTGCTTTTTCCATCACATATCTTGCTTCATTTTTTTAGCTGTTATTTAGATTTTTCTGTTATCCATTTTGAAATCTGAGAATGTAGGTTGATTCCTGTTTTACATTTGCCTGCTAACATGCTTATTGCTTCTTAACTTACCTAAATATGTTGAGATCCCCTCTTAATTGAGTTTCAGATTTATCTGGTATATAACGATGCCAATCCATTAACTTAATTGGGGAGCTTATCTAAATCTGTGCTCGGTACTGACAGCCAGGCCTATTGGTGGATATAAACATCAAAGATCTAGCTCATGAGAATGTAAAAGTCTGTGCTTGTTACTTTCCTAATTCATATATATGATTTTACACTTACTTTCAATGTCTGTTCTACTCATAAAGTGATTTTCATAAAGTTATGCTGTTGTAAATTGAAGATCCCAGCCAGAGTCACATTTGCCATCCCTTTAGACCCGTGAAATACATTTGCCTTCAGAGATCCATGGTCTAATCTATAAATCAGCTAACCCATGTGGTGTTCTATCACTTGGTGTTTGATGATCCATTTGGGAAATGTAATCCCCAGATTTGAGTGGGACTCTATTGTTCCTCTTCATTCTTCTCTATTCCTTTGGGCTTTTGTATCTGACAAAAAGGGAATATCAAGATCATATTGGAAATCAGGAGCTTCTGCCATTTGATATTTGCCATCTACTCAATGTCCAGTAGTATCTACCTTGTGTTGGTTATAGCTAGGGCAGATCTTAGCTTAAACTTTATGAGAAGGTTGTTCATAATTCAGCATATTTAATGGCATGTTTATTTCATGTGAACTTGTGCATTTCGTTTTGTAATCTATCTCCAACTGCAGGAAGACGAATTGCTAAGAACATTCAATAAACAAATTGAAGAGGATAGAAGAATTATCATCTCTAGGAGCAATTTAAGTGAGCTACATAAGGTGAGAAGATAATGATTTCCAACACCAACATCTATATGGTATTGCGCATTACTTGACAATAGTTGTGTTATATTCATTCATGCTTGCACTTGAGTTTCATGTTTGTGCAGATTTTATGTTTTGGTGAATTGGTTTCTACAGGTTCTAGAGGAGCATGATCTATCATGTCCCAATCTTTTGCATGTCAAAACTGATGGGGTGATTCTCACAAAACAGAGTAAGATATCATGATGTCCACATTTTAACATTTACCCTTCTATTTAATGTTATGATGCTCTATTATGTAACCTAGTAGCATGGAGCTCTTAATCTTGCACCTTGGTTGAGCTTTCATATCTAGCACTTGTGATTATTTTGTCCCCAAGAATTTTGCCTTGCTGTCTATATGAATCTTTTGAACAAACTAGTTCATGATACTAGTTGATTTTCTTTTTTTGTATTATTTTTATGATGTCTCCGGAATTTTTGAGGTTAGCTGCATTGTTTGTGGGAACAGTGTTTAAAATCAAATTTTATTTTTCTTGCAGAAGCAGAAAAGGTTGTTGGTTGGGCCAGGAATCATTATTTGTCAGGATGCATTCTTCCTTCAATAAAGGCTGATCGGCTCACTGTACCCCTTGAAAGGTAGTACTTTAAAAGTTTTTTAAGATACTGTGCACTTCAGTTAATTAGGGCTTTCGTGATGTAGACCATGGCTCTGTCTGCAGCCTGGAAATTGCAGTTACAAGATTGAGGGATCAGGAAGTGCTGTCCAGAAAACCCACACAAAGCTTGAAGGTATGATTACTCTAAATGTGCGTAGTGTTAGATTTTGATTATATCAATGAAAAAAAATATTGTTGTAGTCAGTTGCACCTTTCCTGTATAACATTTGAAGTTATGGCAGAGTCTAGCAAAGGATGAGTATGAGAGTAATTTCGTCTCTGCGGTTGTTCCTCCTGAAGAAATTGGCGTAAAATTTGATGATATTGGTGCCCTGGAAGAAGTAAAGCAGACATTAAATGAATTAGTTACTCTTCCAATGAGGAGGCCAGAGCTTTTTTCTCGTGGAAATCTCTTGAGGGTAACTTCTTGTTTACAGAAATCTTGAGAATTTTTATAGGTTTTAAGTTTCTTTCCCATTTTTCTATTGGCAGTGATTACACAGACTGCAATTTTTTTTGGACAAAATAAAAAATAGATATGACGTTTCTGTTAGGTTTCTCTGGCTTCACTCTAACGATATGAAGCTTTTTCAGCCTTGCAAAGGAATTTTGCTCTTTGGTCCTCCAGGGACTGGGAAAACTCTTCTTGCAAAAGCGCTTGCAACAGAAGCTGGAGCAAATTTTATCAGCATAACTGGTTCCACTCTTACATCTAAGGTAACCTCTTCGGAATATTAACTTGGGACCTCGATAAGAATGGAACATCCTGACCCTCCCAACCCTAGAGGTCATTCCTCATCAATAGTTTATACTGATAAAAAAAATTTCTGTAATCCTTACTTGTTTCAATGGGAATGTGAGCTTCTCATAGTCGCTGTAACACTGGCTGCTCATCAGAACACATGTGGCATAGATTATTCTCTCGCCATGTGGAAGCACACCATCATAAACAGAAATCTCCTGAGCTTGTGTTGCTCGAAATGCAATGCTACCCAAATCTTCTAGTTTGCTGTTTCAGTCTCGGATCTTCATCTAACACTTCTGACACCTTGAGACACTCATTGATATTTAATACTTTGATTTGTTGCTATTAAACAAATTTGTATAATTGTTAACAATATTTATCATCTCGCATTATAGGCTTTAGGAGAATTTTATTGTGCATAGGCTGATGCACGTGTCCACCCTGATTTTGAATGGATTTAGGATCTGGGACACATCCTAAATCACAGCAAATGCATTTCTGTCTTAGCTCCATGGTTTTGCAGCTCCAAAAATAGTGCAGATCTAATGATCTGCAAAGAATTAACCCAAAAAAACAATAAGCTTTAAAATATACTACTTTTAAGGTTCAAAATTTATTTAATTTTTCTTTTTTCCATATTCATAGTCATAATGGTTGAGATTATTGACCTGTGAATTCAAAGTCCATCTTTAAGATAAATTAGAGATGGATTTTGGAAGGTTTCAACAGGTCTGTTGGCTGGCGCACCAAAACCGTATCCTAAATTTTATATATGCAAGTATGTAGAGTTGTTGTGCAAACTGCCTACTCGTTCAGCAACCAATGATTAATCAACTAGTTACAATTAAGATTTTCTATGCATATATGGCTTCTAAGTCGATGCTCTTATTTATAATGTTCTGTGTGTCTTAGTGGATGTGTGCTTATAGATGCGATCTTTTTTTAATACCATATATCGAGTCTCTCTCTTCATTGGTAACTCTCTTTGTGATTTTATTATAAATTTACTCATTGTTTTAATATTGCCCTTCTTGGTCAGTGGTTTGGAGATGCTGAAAAGCTCACTAAGGCCCTTTTCTCATTTGCATCCAGATTAGCCCCAGTTATCATATTTGTTGATGAGGTAAACATTGTTTGGGTACTTAACATTTCTAATTTTTCATGTTTTTTTATCTTAGATCTTCATTACCTTATTGAAAAGCAAGCTATTGTGGATATGAGTATGCTATAATCCGATGGACTATGGTATGCTCTTTGTCCAATGGATTCATCACCCATTGTGCTATGGTTTGAAAATCTGTAGTTATACTTTCCCCATATATACTCGTAATCAATACTATGCTGCTGTATTTTAAATTAGTTTAAATGATTGCAATATTAAGTTTTCCAGGTCATTAAGATGTTTTTTATCCCATGCTTGTTGAGATTTGTAACTTGGTTTTGTAGGTTGACAGTCTTCTTGGAGCTCGTGGTGGTGCATTTGAGCATGAAGCCACAAGAAGAATGCGTAATGAATTCATGTCAGCTTGGGATGGACTTAGGTCCAAAGATAGCCAGAGAATCCTCATTCTTGGTGCAACTAATCGGCCGTTTGACCTGGATGATGCGGTCATACGCCGTTTGCCTAGAAGGTTAGCTTGTAACATGGAAATATTCTTTCTCAATGAATGATAAAAAGATTATTGGTAGTAGGATGACCAAAGAGCGCAAGAAGGCTAAAACCTGAAAAAATCGCCAAGTTTTCTCATTTTAATATGAAGTGCAAATATTTGTTGATTTTTATGATCTGAGTCGTAAATCTAATGGTTAGTTTGGTCTCTAGAATATATGTGGACCTGCCAGATATGGAGAACCGAATGAAAATTTTGAAGATATTCCTTGAGCGAGAAAACCTAGATTCCAGCTTCCAACTTGACAAACTTGCCAATGCCACCCTAGGGTATTCGGGAAGTGATTTGAAGGTGAGTTGCATGGAGTGCAAGAAAAAAGAAGAAAGCAATTTTATGTAAAGCATGTGCGTTATGACACTAGTTGGTATAATCTGTTTAACTGTTCTTTTGTATTTGGTGTAGAACTTGTGCATTGCAGCAGCATACAGACCTGTTCAAGAACTTTTAGAAGAAGAAAAGAAGGTATGCAAACCAGATCTTTCATCCTCTTTATTTTTGTATTTTAGTTTGAGAAAGTAATTGCCATGCAGTATCGTGTGCTATAATCCGACTGGGTCACAACTTCCCACCACCCAATGGTGGGACACTTCATTATCGTCCATGAGCTATGTTTAAAGTTGATGTTGAGTTGAAAAACGTCTGAGGGTACTTTCTTCAGTTCCTCATCATTCAGGCCTTTCAAATGAATGATAGGTTTGGATCTTTCTGAACAGAGTATGAGCGTACAGAGCATGCTCCCATGGGTAGTACACTTACACCCTTGGGCAAAGAGCTACTTAGGAAGATTATTTCAATATGAAATTCTGGGATCCACCTAAAAATCTCCAGATGGTTATTTTTACATAAAGAAAAACAAATGGATTGGATTTTGAGTTATTAGAACTGGATGGTCTTTGTTCAATCTTAGGACATACTTGCACATATGGAGTGCCTTTTTTTCTCCTGAGGTCAGTCGCTAGGTTGAAGAGGTTACATTCCAAAAATTTGGGGGGCCTAAAAATGCTCCTATATTGGGTTTTACCTGAGGGAAGAATGTAAAGAAATGCTGATCTGGGAGTGTAGAATCGTTTGATTATTTGTTTTATCCCCCATACGAAATATATGCTTTTACATGGTTTTCTTTGTCGTGGCCGTGTCTTTGTGAAACCTTGTATGCTGTAAATTTTCTGGAACACATTTCTCATATAAACATGGTCTCCTGCCCTTTTCTCAGAATGGAAGAAAAGAACCAGCACCAGTTCTGAGGCCATTGAACCTGGATGATTTCATACAGGCAAAATCGAAGGTATGGATCCAGAATATCCTCTATTCCTGTCCCTTAAACAGAGAGAGAGAGAGAGAGAGAGAGAGAGAGAGAGCAGCAGCAGCATGTCTCTATTCCCGGCAGAGGAACTCTCCTTCAGATTTCTTGGTGTTCTCCCATTGTAGTTGTTATAAATGGATGCATATGTGCCTCTCACCTTTTATGTGTTATGCTGTAGTTTGAGGTTTTGGAAACTAAACTAGTCAATTTTCAAGTTAAATGATCCTGGGGCATGCTTATTACTGAATAAGGATACCAAACGTTAAGAAACATGTTTGGAAGGTCATTCATGAACCTTAGAAGCACAATTAAAAATGTTCTAGTTTCAGCTGTTGTTTGAACTTCACATTTCATGATAAGACCTGATGAGGTTTTAGGAAACATAATGTTGTTTTTGAGCTAGATTTGTTGGAGAGAGAGAGAGAGAGATTTGTTCTGGCAGATGCATATTTACTGGTTTCATGTTCCACCAGGTCGGTGCATCGGTAGCATATGATGCCACGAGTATGAATGAGCTTCGGAAGTGGAATGAACAATACGGGGAAGGAGGCAGCAGAAGGCGATCTCCATTTGGTTTCGACAACTGACTTGATATTCCCTCAAAAAAAACCCCATGTAACCCCTTTTTGTGTGTTCCTCTAAACATCCTCTTAGAGTAAAGGTTAAGAAAGCAGGCTATGTAATTTATGGATGTAAGGGCCTTGCCTGTTTCTAAATTTTCGGCCTTCTTTTGAGCGATAATTCTTCTATGTAATCCCATTTGGGGAGCTATTTAGGGTTTAATAATATATATTTGGCATTTAATTTAATGTTCATTGTGTACCCTTGTTTCTTTCTTTCCTTTCTATAGTAGTTCAAGTACAGTTCACTGAAATGGATGTTGGGTGTATTTGCCTGAGGAGATCAACTGTCCATTCAAGAAACTAATTGCCTGTTACAGTATTGCAGTGTGTGTTCCAATAGAATTGAGTTGATTGAATTCAATCATGTTCCAATAGAATTGAGTTGATTGAGTTCAATTATTTTGTGAAAAATAGTTGCCAAGAAGGAATTATGTAGTATAAGACTATTTACCTATCGTGTAAGATGGTCGCAATCCCCCAAGCCATCGTATGTCAAATCAAGCAGCTGCTTATCTATTAAAGCTGAAGAATTTTTCTCAGGCTTCGAGTATGCTCGATGGTATAAGTGCAGCTACCCTGATTATGACTTTCTTTACCAACATCATATGATCTTTTTCTGCAGTATTATTGGGTTTTATGTACTTTTCATACTAGGTGAAGCACACAATAAGGCTGCCTTTGGTAAATACTTGTGAAATACAGTTGTGCCATTGACATTGCTCAAAGTTCCAAATATTATTTATTATCATTTTGATCGTTATCACTATTTTAACTTGCTATTAGGAAAGGTAAAGATCGCAAGAGATGAAATCTAGGTCCTTTACCCAAAGACTTCTTTTGTTTAAAGTGTAGGCACAGAATTTAACATGATTACGGTTTCCATATTGACACTGCAAATCTACTTCCCAGATTCAAATTCCTACAGCTGAACGGCCTGTAACTCAAGGGTGTATGAAATCTTGAGGTGATTTTAGCAGGTACTAGTTAAATTTTCAGCATAACTGGTATTAAATTTTCTTAATCATGATTAAAAAAAAACCGTGTCAGCAACATAATAACCCCAAAAAAAAAAAACATTAAACCTATGTTTTTTTAATATAATTTAGATCTGCGTTTGGTCAGAACCCTATGACTTGTGAGTTGTGATTTCAAAGCCAAGGTCATTCAGTAACTTCTAGTATTCTGCCATCCCATGTTTCCATATCCTTTTATTTTCCCTCTGCCTCAATTGCTCTCCCTCTGTTTTAACTCTTCTATTTAGCTAAAGACTCGCTTATCTACGCTCCCTCAGGTAAAACCCTTGTCCACAAGTATTTTTTGAGGGGCCTCAAATTTTGGAAATGGGCCTCTCTCTCTCTCACTCGGGTAAAATCCTCGTACACACAAATTTTTGTTACAATCCGATTTTTAAAAAAAGATTAAGATTCAGACGGTGATATATATTGTGAACTACTTGATGAAGATCTGACGGTTGTAATTTCATCTATATTATTATTCATTATAATTGTCAAGTATTTGTTAGTTTTTCTATATATATATATATGTATATATAAACAACGATATTATAGAACCCTCCCACACGTACAAGCATGAGACCCTAACTCAGCACCATCCATTTCGATCCACATCTCAAACATTCACTAAAATTACGACAATCATTTTAAAGAGAGAGAGAGTTAATGTTTAATCATTTTAAACCTTCAAGAGAGAGAGAGACAGTGCTGTTGTTTTGGAGAAAGAGAGATAGAACAACTGATTTAGAGATAGGGGGTGGTGAGAGAGTGCTGGATGGAAAAGAGTTTGGAGAGAGAGAGATAGAACAACTGATTGGAGAGAGGGGGGGCGAGAGAGTGCTGGATGGGAAAGAGGAACGAGAGAAAAAACTCAACAACTGGTTCTAGAGAGCTCGTTGACTGGATGGGAGAGAGAATGAGAGAGATTGAGAGGGAGGGGGCAACTGGTTCCATAAAGAGAGGGTGAGTTGAGGATGGATGGGAGAGAGAACGAGAGAGATTGAGAGGGAGGAGGTGACTGGCTCTAGAGAGAGAGAGAGGGTGAACTGAGAATGGATGGGAGAGAGAACAACAGAGATTGAGATGGAGGGGGGCGACTGGTTTTAGAGAGAGAGGGTGAGCCGAGAATAGATGGGAGAGAACAAGAGAGATTGAGAGAGGGGAGCGACTGGTTCTCACAGAGTGGGTGACCTGAGAATGGGTGGGTGGGAGAGAGAACGAGAGAGATGGAGAGAGGGAGTGAGGGGCATTGAACGAGGTGTGTCAAATATGTTGACATAGAGGAATTAAAAAAAGGGAGGAATTCAAATCTCACCTTGGATCGAAATCGATGGTGATGAAGGGGGATCTTATGCTCGTAGGTGTGGGAGGATCCTGTAACTTCTTTTATATATATATATATATATATATATATATTTCATACAACTATTTTATAATAATATAATGAAATAATTTTTAAAAATTGTATTAAGGCGATTCGTTTGACCTTGCCTTTAAATATATACTCTTTTTATTCTAATGAACAATTATAAACAAGAAAACAGAAAAAAAAAAAGGTTGAAAATAGATCCTCTAAAGCATTTTTTTAGCTCAATTAATATAAATTGTCCATTGTGTTAAGATACTTAGATCTAGGCCTTAGAAAGTTTTTTCCTCTCCTCATATTTTTTAGATAGCTTTATTATTATTGGATGAATGATGGTAAAAAAATAATAATTTGTAAAAGCCTTAATCTTGAAATTCACCAAAAAAAAAATGAAGATCTAGATTCATTCTTGGAGGGAACTCATTTTGACCACATCTAAACTGTAAATTGAATTTTTTTTTTTTGAGGATTGATTATTGAGATGAATATTTATTAGGGCCGTACAAATGTCACAAATATGATTTTTCAAAAATGTAGTTTCATTATATTGGGATGACATGCTGACATGAAATCACTCCCCTTATGTATATTCATTAGGTTGCGAGCTTGCAGCCATCGGCAATGTACATTAACTTGAATGGTGGATATATTTCTTGAAATTCAATGGGAGAAACTGGGAGACCTAAATCCTCTCTCCCTCCACCTCTTCTCTCTTCTTCTCTCCTCTCTCTAAACCGCTTTTTATATGCAGAAATCTACAGACCCCTTTCCACCACTTGGGCTGCAATAAGCCCAGGTTTTGAACTCGCAATAATGGGCTGCAATAAGCCCATCCTCTTACTCTACCTCACTTAAACCCTCAAAATCCCACAGGTTTTGAACTTGACAAAGGAGTCTACAATCAAACCCTCAAAATCCCACAGGTTTTGAACTTGACAAAGGAGTCTACAATCCCATTGTTCTAAAGTAGGCCCAAGCTTGGCTCGACATACTGCAAAACTCAAACATGAGTGTAACAAAGATGAGTCTTGGAGTTTAGGATTTCCTCTCCATTATTTTAAGAGATGAACCAAATACCAGGGAGCTCTTTTTTGTTTTTACAATGTGAAGTGCACTAGCCAGTTCAATTCTGTTGAACTTTTGCAAGGACTTAGTGATGATGTTAATTTTTTTTAGGGAAAGGTTTATATGCTTCCCCTACCATCCAGCCGTTGAATTCTGGTCACGAGAGCCACTCACCGTTTGATCTTAGATCCGACGTCTCAAAGTATTTTTTTTTTTAGCTTTTTTTTTATATATACAATTTGTATGAATATGAAATTTGGTACGGGCCATCTTCTCATTGGGGCACACCTATAAAAAAATATTAAAAATAAATTTTTGATAAAATATAATGACCACAATACCCCTTGAAACTTTTAGGGGTATTTTGGTCATTATATTTTATTAGAAATATTTGTTTTATTATTTTCGCTAGTGCGAGTTTAATATATTGGATGTACAAAATTTGGAGTCAAAATAGTTTATAAAAAACAAAAATGAAAAATAAATTAGTGTAGAGATGTGACCTTGTGATTGGGGCAATCTTAGCCCTCCATTCAGAATGGGCAGTTGGATAAGGGAAAGTATATAAGTTTTATGTTGTAGGGAGAACATAGAAAGCTTACCCTTTTTTTATATATGCTAATGGTGGGTATAACTTCACCTTGGCTGGTCATGTCGTTCCTAAGTTCGAGTAAAAGATGAGTTTTTTGATATATGCTAATGGTGGGAATAACTTCACTTTAGCTGGTCATGTCGGTCCTAAGTTCGAGTAAAAGAGGAGGGTTGAGTTCGGTACGCAGCCAACATAAAACTGTGCCACAACTGTTCATAAATCTTGAATTTATGTTATCTACTCACGCTAGGGCGTTCCCTATACAACCGATCAAACTTTGTTGTTTTTTTTTCAAATTTTTTTGTACCTTTTACGGGTGATAAGATTAGAGAAAGTAATTTACGTAGCTCGACACCCAAATAATTAGAATAAAACTTTGATGATAATGATGACACCCAACTAATTAGAATAAAACTTCCATGATAATGATGTTAACAGTGGAATGGAGGGTGGGATGTATGTTGAGGGGTTTGTTGTTACTAGTTCATGGGGTGATAAGGCTGCTACGGATTTTTTCTCTATCAAAGGTGGAATGTGTTGCTATATGGTTAGCGAAGATAAAGCATAGAAATCCCCAAATACAATAGGTAAAAGTTTATATAAAGATTAGCCCTAAACAACCAAATTAAAGCACACCTCAAAAATTCGCTAGAGGAGGTTGTTTTGGGGCCCAAAAATTTACTAGAGGAGGTTATTTTGGGGCTAAAAAATTGTCAAATCAATTATCTCGACTTCAAAATATATGGACATGGACATGATAAAAAATGGATTTCAAGTCTTAGAAATAGTACATCTTGTAATGTATTTTCCAGACCATAAATTTTCAAAATTTTCAAGTACTCATCCATACACTATTTTTGAAGTTTTAAATTAAAAATGAAAATAAAGTTTTAGACCATCACAAAGTTTCTAGTACTGAAACATCTTTCGACACTAATTGAAGGTGCACCTTACTTTGATTGTTTAGGCCTAAGCCTTGTACAAACTACACCCAAACCCCAAATACAATAATGCGGGGAACAATTCAAAAATATTGTGATATGCATCAGTCCTCTCCATCCCACAATGCTATGCTGAACAAACTTCTGTGGCGCGGGAACCAATGTCCACAAAAGACCAATTTATTTGTTCTAGTCGCAGGACTCTTCTTTGATAATTAACCCTAAGGATATATCCTAAAAATTATTTTGCCACAACCCATTAAACCCCAAAAAAAACGCATTCCTTTCTCACGGATTTTATGGCTTTGTGTGGCTTGTGAGATATTTAGCGTTAGGCTTTCGGGGTTTCCAAAGTGGGTTGAAATTCTTGGGTTTTGAAGATGAGGCAGCGTCTGTCATTCTTGAAGATGACTTGAGAGCAGGTCTGGCATTATTGAAGACGATGAATTTTCTTAAATAGAGGAATTGGATGATCCAGTGATCAAGTTGCATATAAATTAGAGATGATCATTATGATTACGCTACTGGCTGGTGCTCTGGTTTTCTGGCCGGTTTTTTCCTCCTCCCCTTGCACACAGAGAGAGAGAGAGAGAGATGCATAAAAAATTATCCTACCGAGTATCCAATTTTTGGAAACGCATATCTATATGTTTTACCAATTCTATTTTTTTATTTCTGAAATGCTCATCTCGTGATTATGAAGTGGATCCCTAAATTTTAGATTAAATGACTACTTCTAAGCCAATTAAGTGTAAATTGTGCTCACACAGGAGTATGCTATATGCACTTCTTTTCTTTGGTCCACAAACCGAACTTTTCTTTGGTTCTGAACTCCAAGTAGATCTCGACCCAAATTTGACCATCTAAATTACATAAAAAGAAACCATTTATATACAGGGGCTAGTTCAGAGGTTGGCCTTCTCCATGAGGCCATTTACCATAAGAATAGGAAGTAACACCTCCTGCCTTTCTATGCTCTGAATACTTACAATGGGTCAACGTAATAACTTCGGGGCAAGGGGATCAGTTCCATCTCTTTGCATTCTTCAATCCTTTCGACTTTGATTTTGCCTGTTGAAATGCAGCCACCCTCTGTTTCTTCCTAGCTTCCTTCTCCGCCTGCAATAGGTAACATATTAAGAATTTGAGAATGAAAAATGGCAGTAAATTGAAAGAAATAAACTAATACCATTAAATTTGGTCAAATGGATCTTTCTCATCAGAAAGCAGAACCCATGGTGATAAAAGAAAGTTGGACTTTGTTGGTTGGAACTTCTACATATGCATGCGTTAGGGCAAACATGCAGAGGCACGTGCATACATATGTGTGTGTGTGGGAGAGAGAGAGAGAGAGAGAGAGAGAGAGAGAGAAAGAGACCTACACATGAATGGATATACTTCTCTGTCGCTGGTATAAGAGTTTGTAATTATACTTGATACAAATTCTAATTTTGAAATGTGTAATTACTAATACAAGTCAGCAAAATGTTATTTGCGTGCTTTTGATTCGGCTGCCAGTGATTTCATTAGCTCTTGCTGCAATTTTCGCTTAATATGACTTTGAAGGTTCCTTCTACTCTACAGTCATTTGCAAGCTCACAAAGGAAAATCTAAAAATTCTGGATAGGCAAATCATCCAACTGAAAGGATATACAATCGTGAAAACCAGGAATATCATCTTCGAAATCATTATCGTGGTACTCTCATGAATTGCTCGAGGAGAACACACCTTTGACATCTTAGATTTGGCTTTCACTTTGGGCGCCTTTTCCTCCAACTCTGCTTCCCGTTCCAGTTCTTTTTCTCGGGCATCGAGGTTTTTCTCCAGATAATACTGTTAACACGCAGATATTGAAAGAAAAGAGAGAGAAACATAAGTTAAACGTCATTAGATAAAAATCCGGTAAATGTTGGCTAGTCTTGGCCAATTTTTAATTTTAATGTCCGGCACAACCAAAATGAGTATATAGGCATTTTGGAATCTAGCTCCTTTAAGACCTTAACCCAATAGCACATTTCTTTAATTTATAAATTCATTCCACCATAAATCCGAATTTCATCTTTTTTACTTGGACTTATTTCTCTACTTTTCAGGATGAAGTTTGTCTTGGAAGTCAGCATCATGTGTCAACATACTTCACCAAAACTGTTCCAAAATCAAACACTCTAAACCTTTGTCAAATTCATGGCCAGGAATTTACTTCCACATTAGGAATATACATTTTGCCGACCCCAATTAATTGGGAAATGGCTAAACTGATGATGATGATTAGGAATATACATTTTGATTGGCATCTAATCCAACAAATATGCAGATACTTCTTTGTAACAAGATATAACATTATCTGTTAGATGAGTTCAAGGAAGTGTAAATATATGCTACATAGGCGGTGTATGGCATATGGTAGACAGCCTTGGTATTCACTCTCCATTCTCCATGACATATGAGAGTTTAACCTTGTCATGGGAGTTTAACCATACGCAGATTAATCATTGAGAACTATGGTTAATATCGACTTTCAGATGTTGAGAAATGACAACAAATGCCCTGGCCATACCAAACTACCATATGTATGCTGTAAATGTTACACTATGTCTTGGTAATCAAGGAGTTGGAAAACATAATAAAAAAACCTTCAAAGCAAATTGGAAGAGATGCAATAATTTGCTTTTGAAATTTATTTGGAAATAGAAAATTGAAAGGCATTACAGGTTTCTTTGCGCTTATGCGAATAATCCAATAAACCATTCCTACCAAATGCTCATCCATAAGGCACATTTTCATTCATTACATTGACCTTGTTTCTTTAAAATATATGCAGAACATTACAAGGCAGACATATCAATAATATAAGACAGGCAGGTATGCTTACATTATAATCCCCTGCATAGTCTTGTAGAGTTTTATCCTTCAATTCCACCACTCTATTCACTATTTCCCTAATGAAGTACCGATCGTGAGAAACTGCAACAACAGTGCCTGTGTATTCCCGTATCGCCTCCTGATCATAGATTAAAAAACTTTTCAGCAGGGCCCAAGAATAACAAGAACATAAATGAGATGCACCAGCTTTAGAAACTGAAAAAAAAAAAAAAAAAAATAGAAGAAAACCAAAGCACTTTAAGCAAAGCCATAACCTCCAGCATCTCCTTTGTAGGTATATCAAGATGGTTGGTTGGTTCATCCAAAATGAGTAAAGTTGATGGTTTCACCATAAATTTGCAGAAAGCAAGCCGTGCCTGCAAATCAAAATCAAAATCTTAGCACAGCCAAAAAAGATGGAATATTGGTGCCCAATGGCATCAATAAGTGGTAAAAATACAGCATCAAATTATACAGCATGGTTCGAAAAGATACTGCAATTACCTTTTCACCACCACTCAAAAGCGAGACCTTTCGGTCAAGCATGTCTAATTTAAAATTGCAACGACCAAGGAGTCCCTTTATATCGTCAAGTCTCCAATCCTCCACAGCTTCTTCCACTGTTTCAATAACAGTCTTATCCAAATCCAGGGCTTCTGCCTGACCAAAACAACAGAGCTAATACATAAACTGCCATGCTTAAACATGGTAAATTCAGTAATGAGAAAATATAAAATTGACCGTGCATCGATGTTTCGTCCAAAAAAATAGAAAAATGAGACATGGTAAATGAGGGGAGGTTCCTCAATCATTAAATAATTTATAGGATGACCTAGATAAGCTATTTTTCTAAAATTTACACTGACAGAATACATGCATGGCACAAAAGGTCACACACATCAAGAAAATAAACTACATAAAAATATTAGCTTTCAGTGTTTCAAAAAAGAACATGTTGTGCTAGCTACTCACCTGGTTCTGCTCAAAGTAGTTAGGCAAAACATTGTGCTCCCCAAGTAAAACTTCACCACGATCTGGTTTCACATAACCCATTATCATTTTAAGAAGTGTGCTCTTTCCACATCCATTTGGACCAATAATAGCAACTTTTTCACCCCTCTCAATATTCAGGTTTGCCTTATGAAACAGAATCTGCCACGATTGACAATCAAAGGGAAAAAGCATTAGGAAAGTAGGAGCAAATTTAGTGAAAAACACTCGGTACATCTCCAAACTTCAGATGCTGCCCAAGACCAAAAATAAAGTTTTTCACCTGATCCTCGTATCCAAATTCCACATTTTTAATGGTTACTACAGATCGTCCACTCCTTTCCTGCTCCGGGAATCTGAACTTTATCTGTTTGCGCTGGAATGGTTTCTCAATTTGTTCTTCATCTTGAAGTTTCTCCAGCTTCTGTGACAAATAAAAACGAAATAATATGAAGAATGTGCTAATATAATTTTCTACGCTGTAGCATAAAAGATCTATGCTTCCCCTACCATCCAGCCGTCCAATTTTGATCAAGATAGCCACTCACCATTTGATCTTAGATCCAATGTCTCAAAGTATTTCATTTTTAGTTTTTTTTATACAAATTGTATGAATATGAAAAATTGTACGTGCCATCTTCTCATTCTGGCGAACCTATAAAAAATATTAAAAATATTTTTTCGATAAAATATAATGACCAAAATACCCCTTGAAATTTGCAGAGGAATTTTGGTCATTTTATTTTATTGGAAATATTTTTTTTTATTTTTTGCTAGTGCGAATTTAATAGAGGATTGGACGTCCAAAATTTGGTGTCAAAATAGTTTATAGAAAAAAAATTAAAAATAAAATAGTGAAGAGATGTGACATTGTGAATGGGGCAATCTTAGCCCTCCATTCAGAATGGAGGATTGGATAAGGGGAAGTATATAAGTTTTATGTTGTAGGGGAAGCATAGAAAGGTTGCCCACATCTGAAATATAGCAAGTGCAATATCAGAGTACACAAATTTTTAAAGGAACAAAATACTCAACTCAAATGTCTAAAGCATTTTGTTTTCTTTTTTTATTCTCACATGAACTTGTGGAAAATAGACATTAAGATCTTGCAAAATCCAATCAACACTACAAATTTAGAAAATAATGAGAAAGGGATGACACAAGTGGAGTAAAGGCCCATATGTTGCCAATCAATTTCTTATGAGATCAAAAACCTTAATAACTGTCTATATCCAATGCAGCTGACCAGTTTTAAAGAGGTTTGCACCAGAAGAATGGACCAAGACCAAACTTCTCAGGAAAAGATCAAGAGAAAACTTTAAGCTGATAAGTTTCTTGTCATGAATTTCTAAGAAATGTGGTCAAAGAACACTTCTGAGGTATGACCCATCTTTTGAAGTAAAATGGTAACTTCATAACGATGGGGTTTCTAGTGTCAATTACAAGAGGTCATAGGGCGTGGGTTTTCCTGGTGTTCACATTTCAATAGGAAATACTAGAATTCCCAGCTTACCTTCTCTGCAGTAGAAGCACGACCAGCATTAGCTCCAGCACTCAGTCTATTTATAATGCCTTTTGTATGATCAATTTGTTTTTGCTGTTTCTCCCAAGCCGCATATTGAGCCTCTATCCATGTTGCTTTTGCTATGATATACTCAGAGTAATTCCCCTCATATGTCTTCGACACACCCATATCTGTCTCAACAATTTTAGTGCAGAGCTGATCAAGGAAAGCTCTGTCATGTGATATAATAACCATCGGTACAGCTTGCTTTTTAAGGTAACCTTCGAGCCACTCAATTGTGTCGAGATCAAGGTGATTTGTGGGCTCGTCCAAGAGAAGCAAATCAGGTTCCTGCAGGTGGTAAAACAATGTTAGCAACTATATCATCGAGGATTAATTACAAGTGACCAACTGGATTCCATCATTATCTTGTTTAAAAACGTAAAAAAATAAATAAAAATAAATAAATAAAAAATACTGCTATGATCTGCTGTTAAACAGATAACACAGTAAATGTCCTAATTTGTCAAGATATCCTAAAGTGTCAAAGACATTGACAAGTATAAACACTAAGTCTTGCATCTCCACAAAAGCAGGCTGAAAATAAGCAACAAAATAAATCAGCAGATGTAACAAAAGGAACAATCACTATGGAGTGGGTCTTAAAATATGATCAAATAGCAACATCTTCATACTTTCACAAGTCTAAAGCAGGCATACCCTAAATGAAATGCTAGAAAAATAACCCAAAATCTGTACGGAAACTTCTTTAGGGTTTTCCCATAGATCAGGGTAAAAAAAAAAAAAGAAGGCATTTGCGATTTAAATGGTATTTCTAGAAGAACATATATTATGTACTTCAACCTTTGGAATCATTTTGGTATTCCCAAATTTCTTCCCATTCTTTCCAGTTTTCCCAAATTACAGCCTGTAAAACTCTTTAAGCAGTTACAGCCTGTAAATCTCTTTAAGCATTACCAGGCTCTGAAGTGATAATATTTTGCTTGGTGACAACTTCGTCGTACAAATATCTAGGAAGCAGTTTTGTAACAAATAGCAGTTCTCGGGAGTTCTGCAAGAGATACTTACTTGTCAAACAACAGAATAGACTTAGAAGTTACATCATGCATGAAAAAGGTCAAAATTTACATATTTCAACAAAGAACACAAAATACAACCAACAAAAAAAAGTGGGTATAAAGCAGAGGTCTTTGGTAAATAAACAGAAAGGATATCAGTGTGATCAACATAGTTTACTGTACCAGGCTAGCAGAAATAGAACAAAGTTCTTAATGAACAATCAAGTAACATTAAAATCATTGTTTTATATATAGCACAATGTCAACAGATATCAGACTTCAGCATGAAAGAAATATTGGCATACCAGCCACAATACCCATGTCAGTTTATAAACTTACTTTCTCCAAGTTCAGAAGAGTTTCGAATTATAACTTTATGCAACTTTTTTTGTTTTTCAAGTGGCTTTGATTTAAAAGATTGGTTTCAAAATCTGTAACCTATTTGACCATGACACGGTTAGGTTTAATATCTGAAATTATCATCTCAATCAACAACCTAACACCACTTATCAGCATCATAAATGACAATAAAATTAAACTCGACATTAAACTGAAACCAAAATCCAAACATTTCAAATCTTGAAATGAGCTAGTCTTGCACGGTGATCACCAGTCCAAAGATAGATTAGCAAAACCATGAAAGAAGAATCACAAATGAAAAGATTGAAGAATCATACCTGAAGAAGAATTTTGCCAAGTGACATCCTCATTTGCCACCCGCTACTGAACGATGCCACCAATCTATCACCATCCTCTGGTGCAAAACCTAGCTCAGGCATCATCTTGCTAATCTTGGCATCCACTTCATCCAAATCCAAAGCCTCTGCCCTCTTTAGAAGCAAATCCTGCTCATCCAAAAGCCTCCCCATCAAATTCAAATCCTCAATTGTGGACTCAAGAGCCTTTTCAACCTTTTCAAGTCTCTGTGCAATCTCCATTTCCTCCTTAAAAGTACTCATAAATTCTTCTCTTACAGTTTTGCTAGGCGAAACCTCGAATTCCTGGGTCAAAAATGCGATTTTCATATTGGGTTTTGCCTTAATTATGTTTCCTGAATCGGGTTCTTCTTCACCAGTGATAATTTTCAATTGGGTTGTTTTTCCGGCTCCATTAACGCCCACCAAACCAACCTTTTCCCCCTTTTTCACTTCCCAGCTAACATCTTTCAAAACTGTAACTCCTTTAAATGTTTTGCTAATGTTCTCTAGCCTAATACCAGAAGAAACACTTGAAGCTCCAACAGATGACTGCTTACTATTCCTCTTAGGTTGGAACTTAGCAGTGGAATCATCAGAAAACAAAGACTCTATGTCAGTGGTTTCAGTAACAGTGGTCTCAGCTGCAACTGCTGAAACTCTAGGGTTCCTCACACTAAAAGAACATTCTTTCTTGATGAAATGCTCATTTTTCTTCATCGAATTAGTAAAAAGCAATGGCTTTTCAAAACGCTTAATTCTCCAAGCCAAAGCTGGCTTAAAATTGGGTCTTATAATTGGTTTTCTAGTATCCAGTGAAGATGAACCAGTCAAAAACTTTGAGCCAAGATCAATGCATTTCATTTTACTGGTAACCTCCATTTTTAGACGAATATCAAAAAATAAAGCTTGAAATCTTTAAGACAGTAATACCTTGTTTCAATCCTCTGATTTCTGATTACTGGTGGTTCATGTAAAAAACAACACAAAAACTATAGAAAAGATGAAGCTTTTAAAGTGAGAATACAATACTTCTAGAGAGAAGGGAGAACGAGGGCAACCAACTTCCTCTGCTCTCTGAGAGTTGCAGAGAAACTCGGTCCCTGAAACTAACCCAAAACAATAACAAGAGAAACAATGGCAGTTCCCGATATTAGCAAGAGACTGGTTCCAGGTGGAAAGGAAATCCACTTATCCCCATGAAATATGAAAAATGCAATTTGTATCCTCACTTTCTTTAAATTTTTAAAAAGTTTAGAAATGGGAAATTACAAGTCAATATTCCATATTATTGGCATTTTTTTTTAGAGAGAACACGGTTTCTATGAGGCCAACCAGCATATTGTAGAAATGCGGCCTTGGCAATAAATATATTTTAAAATATAATTTGATCTTAATTTTTAGAGAATATGTATAATCTTTAAAATGGAAATCATGCATATGAAAAACAAAAATTAAAACTAAAAATAAAAATTATATTAAGAAGGCATTTGAACCGTTAGTTACAATTGTTTTAGATTGACCACCTATCATGTTAGAAAAATCGAGCGATCGAACCAATAACTGCCCGGTTATATAAGAACCGGCAAGCCGGTTCTGGTTTTGGGCGGTTTTGGTGATCGACCGGTATTTTAAAAAAGCATAATTCAAAATATATATATATAATATCAAAAATAACAAATTTGGTTTGTAATGCATTTTAAAAATATTTTGTATATGAAGGTTGCCAGCTTAAACAATCCAATTAAGTCGCACCGTAAAATTTTATCATAACATGTAATTTTGTTGTAATTATTTCTTATAAATAATCAAATATTCATGTAATTGTTTTGTTGTAATATTCATGTAATTATTTCCCATAAATCATCAAATAAATCATTGATATATTGTGATGTTATTCTCTCTTACCCTAGTTCTCTATGCTCCCCTTATTTTCTATAGATGCAAAATTATTTATGGGAATCTTAATGTCTTTACTAGCTTTTGTGTGGACAAAACTCCTTCCTTGATTCATTTTTATTTATCTTGTTTTTTTGGGAGCAAAAATTAGGGATCATGTGAACAAGTCAAGAGATAATGTCACGTTGAAATGAGCTCTGATTCAGTCGGACCTTAGCCACTAGTTGCATGCCACGTGGTCTAAGGCGTAAGGCCAGGGTTTTTTCTTTTTTTCATGGCCTTTTTTTAATAAAAAGGACGGTTCAGATTTAGCCGAGCCAGAGCACAGAGCTTGATATAAGACATGAAACGTACGTTCAATGAAAAGGCGCATCACTATCGAATCTGGGCCGTTCGATATACCATGCATTGTACGCCAACGAAAATTTAAAATAACGAATTAGGAAAAATAGACGTTGACTCCATCGTTCCCTCGCAGTGATGGACGGCAAAGATGATGTTACTGTTGGCACAAAGTGGACCACAAAAGCAGATATAAATGAATATCTTTAAACATCAAATTGGACGGCTGAGAGTATGTCGCAGAGTTCGAAAATAACTTACTTTAACTTTAAACTTGATTTATTCTACACTTTGAGCGTTTCGATTTTGAAAACAATCATAAGTGATTGTGACTTTTTTACACCACATAGAACAGGCTTATTGTAGATATTTCAATAAGTAAATTCACCCCTCTAACAAATAAATTGTTTAGGATGATTTTCTTGACCTAAAATTTTAGGATCTATTTTAAAGTATTTGTATGAGTGTTTTTTATAGAGTAAACTGTGGATATCACCTTAAAGTTTCATATTATTATGTGTATATTGTTCGCAGGCGATATAGTTTTTATTGATGAGACCCGAAGTGGCGTCGAGATGAAGTTAGAACTTTAGAGGAATGTTTTAAAATTTAAAGGGTTTAAAATTAGGCATACTATCATATGGTATATGAAATTTAAGTTTAGCAATAATGGGAATAGAGACGCGGAAGTAGTTAACATTTATGACAAAAAAATACAAAAAATAACGTACTTTCGATATATTGGGTCGATAATCCAGAAAAATATAGAATTTGACGAAGATGTTGCACATAGAATTAGAGCTAGGTAGAAGAATGGGAGATGTGCAATTAGAGTTTTGGGAAATAATATAATGCAACCGTTGTATAGTAGTATAATGCAACCACATGCCTAAAAAATCATACTTTTGGCATCTGTATGACCCCAAATTTTGCACACACATTAACTTCATCCTCGTAATCATTCCTATGAAAAATAAATAAATTTAATTTACACCCTAAATATGGTGAAAATTAGTACCTATCCAACAATGAATATCAACCGTCCATTTGATGAATTTCAATATCTAGCCCTTGATAAATTCAAAATCACTTTTTTCTTTTTTAGCATTATTAATCTAGTGATGATAATGCTATATAAAAAATTTGGGAATAAAAAAAATTCCTTCCGAGGTCTATATCTAACCATATCAATAAAAATAGACTGCTTGTATTAATTGCGCTATAATGAAAACTTTCTAGAGCATTTTTTCAAAATTTTCTATTTTGTGATTGTTCTCCAGAATGAAAAGAGTGTCAAACAAATGTCTCTAATATGGTTTTTTAAGATATTTGCATTATACTACTATACAACCGTTGTATAAAATCATTTCCCTATAGTTTTATTTGATCGTCGCATATCGATGAAGTTGAAGGGGAAGTTCTATAGAGCATGTATGAGATCATCATTGTTTTATGAGGCAGGTTGGGTGATCATAAACAATATAATTATAAGATGAGTGTAGTTGAGATGGATGAGTGGCAAGACAATAAGGGATAAAATTCAAACCGAATACATTAGGGAGAACTGGGATGTGGCTCCAATAGACACTAAAATGAAAAAAAATATACTTAAATGGACTAGCCATGTACAACACAGATCTAGTACAACATCCATCAGGAGGTACAAGTCAGTCCAAGTTGAAAGTTCAATTCTCAAAAAAAGCAAAGGGTGGCGTCGAAATGATATGGTTGGAAGTAGTGATAAAAGATAGATAGACTTATGGCCTAACTAAGAGTATGCCTATTGACAGAGCATAATAGTGGAACATGATTCATGTGGTCATCCTTAAATAGTTAGGAAAAAGCTCTGATGATGATAATAATAGTGTATATACCTAGTTTGTTTGCAATTTTAAAAAATAATGATATCGGCCCCTACTTTGAATTTTGAGAATCAGGCTTAGCAAAAAGATTGGAATTCCAAAATCCAAAGTATTTATATGACCAAATAATTTGGAATTAGATAATTCGATGTATTTGGCTGGGGAAATACTTGAGAATTTTTTAACTTTGACAAATAAAACCTCAGAATTTAAAGTTCCGAACCATTTGATAAGCTATGATACTTTAGATTTTCAAACTCCAAGATAATCTCAGGCCTCTTTGCATGCCTCACGAGTTGGGGTGCATATAAGCGTAACACAAATAAATCTCAAAAATTGAAGTGGGGTCAATATTGCAATCTTGAATTGTAAATAGAATTTATTATAAACATACATTAATTTTCTCTTAATTGGAAAAAAACCCTCAATTTTCGTAGACCTCGTTTATACCATTTTTCATCAATTTTGATTTTTTTTTTTTACTAAAATAGCTTTTATGATAATTGTATTACCGTAATGATTACCTCATTACGGTATTTTAATTACCGTAATAACAAGCTAAACAATATAGTACTTTAAAGACCGTAATGTTCATCGGGGTCTCTTTTCCCCTCATTTGCCACATCCGAGCATTATGATATTTAAAATACCATATTGCTTAGCGCATAACGATCAAGCTTAAGCATCACGGTACTTTAAGTACCATAATGACAAGGCTAAGCATTACATTACTTTAAAAATCGTAATGCTCATATGTGGCAAATGATGGAGAAATATACATAATAAGCATTACGGTCTTTAAAGTACTGCAATATTTAGCATGGTCATTACGGTACTTAAAGTACCGTATTGAGGTAGTCATTGCGGTAATACAACTACCGTAAAAGTTATTTTGGTAGACAAATACCAAAAGGTCTTTTTTTTCTAATTAGGTGAAAATTAAGATATATTTTTTTCTAATTTTTCAATTGCAAATAAATTAGGTACAAATGTGATAACATGAAAAATTTAGGGATTTTTAAATAATGAGATTTTCGAATGATATATACTGAAATTATTTTTTTGTAAATAAAAATATTTTCAATACTTTGAAGACCTTAATCGAAGCTTTGTGTACTCTCAAATACGAATTTATTTCGCATCAATCCCAGGGGTGCGGTTTGTATAGAACCTAAGCTCTAAACAATCAAATTAGAGCCTACCTTCAAATAGTGTTGAGAAATGTTGTTTCAACAATGGAAATCTTTGTGATAACCTTAAAATATATTTTCATCTTTATCTATAAAGTTTAAAACTTTAAAAATAGTGTAGATCAACAGATCTATGAAAACTTAAAAATCTCGAAAATTGACGGTCAAAAAATACGTCACAAAATATACTATTTCCAAAACTAGAAATCTTTTTTTTTTTCTCACGTTCATGCATCTTGATGCTGAGATGATAAATTTAAAGATATTTGGGGCATCAAAAAAACCTCTAATTGAATTTTTCGATATAGGCTCCAATTTGATGGTTTAGAGCCTCAGCTCTATATAAACTTTTCCCTCAATCCAATGTGCCGATTCAAACTTTTTTTACGTTGGTCATTCTTTTTAATATATTGCACATTGAAAATATAAGATCCGGCTCGGGTAGTGGTGGTAGCAACCCCTCACCCTGGTTATCACGTTGTGGCTTTCATTTTTTATCAACGTGTGGAAGTCTGTTTTTCCCACTTAATTATCCAAAATAAAAAACAAACAAAAAGAAAGCTACTAGTCAGGGTTTAGTCCGGGAGAGCAAATATACACTTTGCTCGAAGGAGAATGCAAACAAATTATCTAAAAAAATAGATGAGAAAAAAATGCGTTTGTCTTGGAGGTATAGAGTCGTTTGTCTTGAGAGGTAGTTGACCCTGACCTACTAAACGATAGAGGTTTCGGATTTTAAACTATTTTTCAGCATTTTCCTTTATTAAGTATGACCTATCATTTTGTGGGAAAATGAACTTACTAGAGGAACCTCGTGCTTTTTTTTTAAAAAAAAAATATAATAATGGTAAAGAAAAGATCCATTATGCTTTTATTTTAAGAGTTTGGATATTGTTCTTTACAGTGTCTATCGGGCAAGAACTCGGACTCGCCACTATGGTGAGCTCTAGTATACCTAAGTTGGGTGGTCAAGTTGAGGATTTAAAAAAAAACAAAAAACTCAAAAGACTAGGAATTTATTAGGAATGTGTTTTTTTATCTTCTATCATTAAGATTGAAAAGTATTTTGGTCATAAATATTTATTTTTTATATTTTCTTTTATTTTTTGATTATTTCTAAAATCCAGCCGTCGCAAATGGATTTTTTCAAAATCCATTTTCTCACTAAATTTTCTAACCTTATTTAGGTGTGTTTCATTTAATTTTACTTCAAACATATTTTTTCGTTTTTTCTAGGATTTTTTAATAATTTTTGGCTTGCCCAGAATAAGGCCTGACTTGGGTTTAGTTACTCAGCTTGGGTAAGGGCCGAGTCCCATCTCCGAGTCGGAGCTTTGAAATTTTCATATGGTGTTTTTAGAAGGGTGAAAACCAAATTTGTAATCCTTCAAAATCGGCAAATAAGTTTTTATTTTTAAATGAATTTTTGGGTTCACCAACTCTCATGTCTCAGCATGGGTTCCATGTTTAATTATTTCCCAAAAAATTAGCTCAAGAAAATAAATATTTTTAAAGAATAATGATCGCATAGGTTCATTATTTTAGATCGAGAAGATGCTACCAAAGGTTTACATGTGCATTCTTTATTTTGTTGTTATTTTGAGCCATCCACAACCCCAACCATTGATGCCCCAACCCTATTCCTCTATAAAATTGAAAGAAGGGGTGGTAATGGGTTGGGTCGAGAATGACCAGTCCGGCACCCGACCGGATTAGGTCGTAGTTTGGCAATAGACCTGACTTGGACCCGAACTTACCTCCGTATAAATAAATATCAGGTCCGATCTTGATGCGAGCCTATCTTGATAAAATCTAGAACGGACCCAAACTTAGACCTCAACCCAGGTCGGATCCATTGCCCATATTGAACTCAGGTCGACCCCCAATTGTTACCTGCGGTACAAAACCGGAGACGACTATGTATACTTTGTAATCCCGCAGGAGCGCTTTATACTCTCTCTCTCTCGACTGAAGTCACTCAACCCTCCTCCTAAAACCCTAGACACTCTGCCTGAAAACAAAACTCTATACAGTCTTTAGTCGGTGCTCGACTAAACCAAAAAAACCCTAGAACTCCATGACCATGGCCGCCTGCTATTGTTTTCACCATCCCCCTTCTCTTTCTGCTTGAATGGAGTTAAACCATTACGTCTCTTGATTTATCTCTTCAGACTGGATTTGCATACCGCTCCTTTACATTTCGCAGCATTTTAAACAGAACATGAAACATTGAGTCACCATTGAACCTGTGACTTTTGGGAATTATAAGCAATCCAACCCAGGATGATTTTGATTTCAAGATTTCGGTCTCAATTCTCAAATCGGTTTTGCAGAAATGCTGGTAAGTTCACTCCCATGTCTTCGAAGTGGGTAAGGCCTTATCAGGTCATGCATTATAGCAGTGCTCCATTAAAGGACGAGGAAGATGAAGAAGAGGTGACAGTAGACCAGAGACAGCTCCCAGCTGATTATGATCCAGAAAATTTTGACCCCACCGAGCATAGAGGTCCACCCACTGATAGGGTTTTTAGGCTCGTTGATGAAATATCTGGTCTCACATTGCTTGAGGTTTCAAAGCTCTCTGAAATCATGATGAAAAAGCTTGGAATGAAAGAGATGCCAGTTATTGGCATGATGAAAGCTGGAATGGGTCTTCCTGCTATGCCTGGTAAGGGTTCAGGGAGTGCAGCCAAGGAGGAGGAGAAGAAGCCAGAAAAAACTGTTTTTGAATTGAGGCTCCAGAGCTATGAAGCTGCCTCGAAGATCAAGGTCATCAAAGAAGTTAGGTCATTTACTGATTTGGGCCTTAAAGAAGCTAAGGATTTGGTAGAGAAAATCCCTTCTGTTATCAAAAGAGGGGTTTCCAAGGAAGAGGGCGAACAGATTATCGAGAAATTGAAGGCTGTTGGTGCCAAAGTTGTCATGGAATAAATTACATGGGTGCCGTTTCTCAGTTTTCTCTGTGTTTTTTGTTCTCTGTCCTAGTCTCCACTTTAGTTAGCGATTTTTTTTATCTTCAAGTTTAGTTAGAATTTTGCTGAAAAACTTCCAATGAATGAGATGTATAACAATGGGATTTTTTTTAGTTAACCTTTTCCTCAAAAAAAACAATGGGACTTTTTTTGTTTTGTTTTAATTGATACATCTGTTTCTAGGACTTTAAGAATAATTGACCAGCCGCTTGTTGAAGAAACTCGCTGGTAACATTTTGAGTTCATCTTTGTCTTCTGTGGTGATTTGAAGAATCACAGATGCGGTTACTTTTTGTATTATATTGTATCGAGGAAATGTAATGTCCTTGGTACTTGGTGGGCATCAGCTCATTCATGCTAGTTATTTTTTTGATTGATTATGTCTGTGGCAAGAATTTATTTAACACTAATCTATGATCGGAAGCCATGATCATCAAATTAGTTTTTGTTATAGGAAGACATGCCCCATTATCATATGATAAGATGCATTGATTATGTTATATTTTCAGACTTTCTTGATTCATGCTTTTGAGAAATGCCTCCTCTAAATTTTGGGTTTTCTATTGATTTGCGTATTAGTAATTGTGTAATTGAATGTATTTGGCTCTGGTTCATAATAGGGCATGGATTCTTGCTAGTCCCTAGGGTGGATGGAACCTAGCATATCAGGCTGTTCAGTTTATCTGTATTGTGCGTATCATCAGATACAAGCTAAAAAAAGGACCCTGGCTTCTTGATGTAATATTGTAATGTCTCCCATCTGGTCAAGACCGTATTTGCTACCACACTTTTTACTTGTGTTTTGGGAGATGGCACCATACACAGCCTGCATAATATTTTGGTATAACATGGTAACATCCACCATCTATTCCGGATGATGGTGGTGGAATTAACTCTTCAAAGGTCAGTTCTTCACTTTCCTAAGAAAGGTTTGGTATAGGACGAATGAAATAAGCCTCATAAACAGAATCATTAGGAGTAACTTTTTCCCAAGATCGACTTAATTGGAATCTCTTCAGTTTGTTGTCATCCTCTATGTAACAAGTCAACTGAATATCTAACATACTAAGGAGATAAGTTAGAATGTGGTGCATGCATTCCACTACGCTATGATGCCATCCTTTCTATGATGCCTTACTACTTCCTCAGTCACCACTTAGTTGAATGGATGATCTGAACAGTGGAAATAACTCTTCCCAGAACCAGATTTGTTGTAATTTTGAATCCCATCAAGCAGAATCTATGTACCCATGCATGGTAATTATTCACATAGCAAGTTCAAGGAAAATTTTATACTAATATTTAAACATTCGCCAAACAGCTCAATATGTACAAGCAATTGATTTGGATTATACTCTGAGCTCCTTCACTAGATCTAATTTGGCTGCCAAAATCTTTGATGATTTTCATTCTAAATTTTTTAAGCTTAGGTTCACTATCAACAAAAAGTGGTTTTATTGAAGAATCCCTGTTTTTTGAAATGTTATGTCCCTCTGCTTTCTTGATTGTATATCGACCTGCATCTCTTGAACTGAGAAAGGTCAAGGCTGTTGTTCCAAACTAAGAAGAATATTTGCAATTCTTAAAATAAATATTCTTTAGGTAATCTTTGGTTCAACTTACTTAATCTCTTTCTAAACTGGTGTAATCTTTGGTTCAACTTAGTTAATCTCTTTAAAACATTTTAAAAAAAAAAATTTAATTAATTTCTTTCTAAACTGGTTTCAATTCATTTGAACTCATCTGTGGCCATCTTGCATAAATGATTAAACTTCTGTTTTATACTTCCTCATGTCTTTCTGAGGGAGCTCAAATTTCTACATTTGACTGCCATTATGATCATTAAATGTCTATAAGACAATAATGATTGATTTTCAATAATTTGTTTGAATTAAATTAATTGAGCATGAATATATGGCCTCTATTTGTATATTAGGTTTGAAGTTCCACAAACTTGATCAGTACTTCCCGTGACATGGGAATGCTCTCATTGCATTGTTATATATGTAGTCCTACCACAAACATAATGATTACTAGCCCCTTTTCCATATTAGCAGGCTCGCCTCTTATGTATTGATTTCATTTTACCTCTTTTCCCAGATATTACAGGGAAATCCATATCCAGCCTGAGATGGCCCCCAGCTTTAAATGCTAGGATGATTCTGTGGATCCACAAGACATGGAAGCAATAGGAGTGATCATAATTGGAAGCTGTTGGAGAAACTCAGGGTAAGATAGTCCAGTCTCACATGATCCTGATGGGCAGCCTCACGTATGCAGATTGATATGAGGGTAACTCACTTCATCTCAATATTTTTGGAGTTTAAGTGAAGATGATATATGGGATCTATGAATTATACTTCATTTCTAATTTGATTATGCATCCTCTATTTAGTGGCTGGATTTTGTCTACATAATCTGCTTTCATAAGTTTTTGTTTGCTCTTCAATTTGTAGTGAGAGACTATAGAGACAGCCAGAATTATTGTGTGATTAGGATAACTTGGTATGCATGAGGTTTATCTAGGAATTGCATGCAAGTGCTAAATTTTACTGCCGATGATATTTTTCTTTGGGTTAATTTTGATACATTACGTGTGTGTGTCCTTGAGGAATAGTTGAGTAAGCACAGTTCACGTTCGTGTACTCCAAGTTCATTATATTACATCAAGTCCTAAAGTTACAATTTATCATGACACAACAGGAACATAATTTCGCCGATTTGAATTTATTTTGAAATTGAAATTAACAAAATCGTTTTGCTGTGTCTAATACTGATTAGTTGCTCATTCAATAAAATAGAAAACAATCCTGGACATACCTAACCATAGGTTGAATACCCTCTTCAAAAACTTTCGACCTTGTTGATGTCATAAAGGTCATTCAAGTCTACCTACGTAGATCTGAGTCAGTAGACTGGATCGACTGACTGCCTCTGGCTATAGGGTTTGACCTATCAACCTTGCTTCAATCCGTCGACGCATCCTGAATATTCATTGACTGGTCTTCTCTTGTAATGCTTAACTCAACATGGAAATGACATCCCTTGTATTTCCACCATCATTTCCTTGGCTTTGCTCATCACCCATCTAAGATTCTTCTGGTTCTTTCATCAACCCAATATTGACCACTTTCTGGCTTATTTGAAATCTGGTTTGCTTCATAGAAGAGTTATTTCAATCATTGATTCAAAAAGTGGTCTGCCTAGCACCTAGGTGGCCGCTTAGGCGGGCTAGGGTTCCTGGACGGACCAAGTAGGCGGGCTGGCCCTGGGTGGATGCTCAGGGAACTGTGCTTGCCTAGGTGCAAAAATACCCATGGGGTGGGGTGTTTTTGTTTGGATTATAAAAAATACATGAATATGCATTTGTAAAACCAAACCTAGATCCAAAACAGGATTACTGGACATCTCTTGCCCCCTTTTGAACCTAGGCCGCCTCGGTTCTGGATGGCCGCCTAGGTGCTGGGCAGCCTAGACCCCCACGGCCGCCCAGGTGCTACCCGACGTTTTTGAAGCATTGATTTAAATTGTCAAATAGTCACTTGCAAATCAACCATCTTCGGGGGAACTGTGAAACTGGAACAAAATATCTTAGATTACATTTCTTCTTTCACGTCCTGAGCTACCCTGGCCTTAAACCAACGTCTTTAACTTCATTGTGAGTCGGCTTCTTTTCTTACTGGGGCTAAGTGAGAACATGCTCCATATGCTCTGACAATCAATAATGGAGCATATGCTACTGAAATCCTTGTCATTGGTAACATGCATTGTTGGAGAATTGATTGAATACAACTCTCACCATTTTGTTGTGAAGTTGTGAGTATATACAAAACATAGAACTTTCAATTGCAGAATTTAGGGTTTATGTTGCTAGCATAAGATAAAGGGGGACTTGGTGTGACGGTAAAAGGCTCGGGTAGCCAACGCAAGAGCACGGGTTCGAGTCTTAAGAGTGGCCACTTTGTGCATAAAAAGCCAAAGGTTAGGACTGTCTCCAGTTCATCCCTCCTGGGACCCTGCGTAGGTGGGACCAGCACCGGGTTATGGCCCTTTTTGCTAGCGGAATATAAACTCGATGCTCCACTCTAATTTAAAAGAATGTTCCATCACCCAAGAAACTCATGCAGATTGTTTCTTTGACTGAGTGGAGTGTACAGTGGTGTCCATATTCTAGACTTCAAATGACTGATTTCATCCATTGTAAGCATTTTGAAGAGAGAATTTTTTTGTAAAAAGTACTATATATCAATAAAAGTTCACTTCCCCTTCCCTCAACAAAAAAAAAACTTGGAAAAGTAGTTACCTCTTCTCAAAAAAGGGTAAAAAAAGGAACATGGGGGTCAAAAACTAAATTGTTACAATTCAAGAAAGTCTAAAAGCGCAAGGACAAGGCCCAAAAGGACATGGATGGAAGTAGTGAGAAGAGATATGGTGGCCTGTGGTTTGATAGAGGATATGTCACTTCATAGAGCGCAATGGCGGAACATGGTTTGTGTAGCCAACCCCAAATAGTTAAGATAAGGCTCTCATGATGATGATGATGATGACGACTTATTTCTTTCGGGGGTAGGGTTTTTCCGGGGGTGGTTAATTTTGCAGTAGTATTTGAACTTGGGATGTAGTATTGGAACCATCTCCACCCTAACTTGTGAAGCTCAAGCTTGAAATCTTACAATATAAGAAAGTAGGTTAACATTAATTGGAATTGAATTAATTTGATTGAGTCATGCACCATGTTCTTCCTGAATTTGGGCCTTTGTGTTGCAATTGCATTTAAACCCTTTTAAAATTTCGCTTTGGGTTGAAAATCTTCTATTTTTATGACCAAATTCTAGACTATGGCTTCCATGAGCCCCAAAAGAACAATTTTCAAAGTTCCATCATTTGAGAAACTATGGTATCAGTGAATCCAAAGTACGTAAAATACCTTTTTTAGTGGTTGTATAAGAGACTTCGAATGAAAAAATAATTAGACATTCATGGATGTACCTACCGCATGGATGATGTACTTGTTCAACTATTTGTTCCAGTTGTGTCAACGTTCTTCTAAAATTTGTGTCTTGATGTAAAAAACAAAAAAAGCTTGTTTCTCTATGGGGCCTGTTTGGGTGCCTGGAGAGGTCTGTACTTGGGATAGGCTTCTCCTGGAATTGGCCTATCCCTGGGATAGGGGTGTATGCTGTTTGAATAGCACCTCGTAAGAAACATTGAATATGCCTGTCCGCTGTTTGGATTGCCTGGAAGATGTGAATCCATGGAACTTCAGTGGTATTTTTTATATTTTTTACCCTACATTTAATTGTGAGATATACCAATTAACTTCTCACTTTCATTGCAAACTTCAATATTGTTTCTTATGATGAAATTCTTATTATTTTTTTCTTCCTTTCCAATATATCCTTGATATGGGATTTTTACATTCCAAAATCTCTATTAATGTCAATCTATTGAAAATGTATCAAATTATTTATTTATTATGAAATTCGTTGATAATATCTCAAATCCTTGTAGGGCAAACAATGTAAGACATTTTTCCCCAAACTACACAATTATTATGGAAAAGAGTTTGTTTTTCCTCAATGCTTGGGGATATGCATCGAGTATTATCACGATTTCCATGTGGAACTGTAGGTGTGCATATCTTTAGAAGAGAAGCTTGCTATTGCTTTTTGGCCGAATTTGGAAAGGTGTCCACTTCAGCCCGTCTCCCTCTTTCTTAATCTCTTTGTTTTGCCGATTATTAAAAATCATACCATAGATAAACATTCACAAATTACAGAGCATAAAACATTTAATCTGAAAGTCCGTCATGCAACCATTTTCTATCCATATTGAGAGCCCATGTCCTAAGTTATTCCAAAATTACATCATAACCATAACATAACCATTTCATTAGTGATATAGGAAGTTAAATATAAAATCAACGTGAGGTCTAAAAGTTCATTTAGCATAGGTCCATATTTAGCCTTATGAATCTATTGCATAGGTTGCACTATTCCATGTCATCTGCGAAACCTTGGTGCATAAGATGCATAGGAGGTAGAACCATGCCTAATTTCTTTGAAGCTGCTTCATCAGCCTATGCACATGCACATTGTAAAGATTCAATAATTATACCGGCATGTGGGTTTTCTAAACAATAAAATTATACCCATATGAAAATTTCCTTTTATTTGATGCAGTCAAGTTTTTCGAGTTGGATTTTTTTTGGAGCGAGATTATTGAGCTGGATTTTTTTGGAACTAACGGATCGTAGTCGGAAGGAGTAGTTTAAGTTTGTATTTTTTAATTTTAATTTATTTTTCTTTCTTACTCTTTATTTTTTCAACCAATCTTATTTTAGTAAGATGTTTTTTATTTTTTATTTTTGGAAGGGTAAATCCTTCATTTTTTTGGACGGTCCATATTTTTCTTTCTTTGCTTCATAAATAAGAGATAATGAGGTTGTTGGTAAAGATAAAGTTTCAAATCCCGACGATCTCATTATCTCTTATATATATATATATATATATATGTATAAATATAAAGGAGCATGTACAATATATGAGAGATGAAATTTTGGTTGAATAAACAAAGGTTATTCTGAAGAGAAAGAGAGAGAGCGGGAGGATGGCTCTTGTTTTTTTTTTCTTATTTTCTTGTTAATGGTGTAAGGTGGAAATCTCAAATCCTGACGTTTATGTTTTTTTTTTAGTTTTTTATTTCTCTCTCTAAAATGTGGTTATTTTGTAGGTATTAGCTATTGGTAATTTCCAAATGCGTTAGGTGATACCACCAGACATAGTTTAAATTCACGGGCACCAACAACTGGCAAAATGATTACGTTTTAGGGAGAGAAATAAAAAAGAGAAATAAAAAACTTAGAAGAAATCAACAAGAAGAAAGCACAGACGTGGGGATTTGAGATCTCCGTCACACCTCATCAACAAGAAAGAAGAACAAGAGCCATGCTCTCACTTTCTCTCTTTGTCTACAAAATAATTTTTTTTTTATTCAACTAAAATTTTATTTTCCATACATTGTACGTATTCCTTTTCATCCCACCAAACATCATCGTACTAAAAAAAAAGATGTGATGGCTTATCCTTTCCAAACTTTATCTTTACCAACAACCTGATCTAATCTCTTCCTACCAAGAAATGTCACCCGTATCTATTATTTTTTATGCAAAGAAAGAAAAATACAAACCTTCAAAAAAAGAAGAAGAAGGATTTGCCCTTTCACAAATAAAAATAAAACACTTCTTACTAAAATAAGACTGGTTAAAAAAATAAAAAAGGAAAAAATAAAAATAAATTAAAATAAAAATGCTAATTTAACGCTACTTAAAAAGGTTGATTCAGTTTATGTTCTAACATGCATAGCTATCACAAGTATGATATGCGGACCATTCGAGAATGTGAAAAGGTATATGGCATTTTTAAAGCATTTTACCATCAGAAAGAGTAGATAAGAAATGTACGGGAGACAGGTGAGAGAAGAGACAAAGTAGAACTTGAAAGAGGAGGAAAGATGAGCTGCAAAAACGAGTGAAGAAGACTACAAGACATAAAGTGCGAAGAAGCGATTGGATACTATACTGTAGAAGGGCGCCAAAGATGAGTAAGTTCGATAGCCTAAATAAAGAAGAGGATAACTCGGAGCACCAGAACAATAAAAGTCAGCGAGGTAGGGGAAAAGCAGACTTTCAATCTCTAGTAGGTTACCCAAGTTGTTCATCATCAACTGGGTAGTAACTACGATGCTATTCATGTGTGGTAAGCTGTTAGTTGACTAGTAAGTAGCAACAGCATCCGCTCTTCTGTTTTATGATATTCGCTTGGCTAATGCATAGTAGGTGATGAACTAATGGTTGGGAAGGACACTAATTAGCAGCCTCAGTGGGGGATCTCTACTTCCCTTTTCGCTAATGGTTTGCTGTTAGTTTGCCGTTGTTGCCTCAAGGGCTGTTAGCTGAAGGGGAGAAAAAGTGAAAAAGCAGAAGCAATAGTGAACATAAAGAAAATCATGAAGTAAAACATAAAACATGTAAAATCAGCAAACTTCTTTTCTCTTAATGGCACATGTAAAATCTGCTAACTTGTTGAGTGGTTTAGTCCTCTTGTTGCGTAGTGGAGTGTATACCTTAGACACCTAGTTTTGCTAGGGTGGATTTGTTCTCTACATGCTAGTAGTGTTTATAGCGGTGATAAACTGGTTGGTCCCGCCATGTCTTGTGGGTTCACATGGACCAAGTTGGTTTGGTTGCATTTGCTAACTAGAGAGAGAGAGAGAGAGAGAGAGAGAGAGAGAGCTACTGAATGCTGTAGTGTTTGGTTTGGTAGCAATTGCAGAGCTCATGGCTCCAAGCGCCGTCCATTTCATCAAATTTTAATGGATGGTGGGGTGTTTTTTTTTTGTTTCATAGAGAGAGAAAAAGTCAAGAATAACAAAAGACATATATGAGATAGAGTATGAGAGTTAGAGTGCAAAACAAAGCGCAGAGAGAGAGAGAGAGCTCGGGGAGGTCCTTCACATCAAGGAGAGCTTGAGGCGAGAGAGATCCATGCTTCAATGGCTAGGATAGCTTGAGGGGAGAGAAATCCATGCTCCGATGGCTAGGAGATAGAGCTTGAGGAGAGAGGGAAAGTGGACTGGAGATACGGAAAGGGAAAGTGCAGAGGAGAGAGGGAGAAGGGTTTGGTAGAGGACAATGAAGAGAGAGAATCTAAAGCTATAGAGTCTCTCTATGAAAAAAAAAAAAAGAAAAAGAAAAAAAAAAGCATCCCCAACATCCATTCAAATTTAGTAGAGTGGACATTGTTGAAGCTATGACTGCTCCAATTGCTACTAAATGCCATAGCGTTCAGTAGCTTCTTCCATACATACATACAACTCCACCATGACCTATCCCAAACTGGTCATGCCGATCCCAAGCCACGGAGAAATGTAGAAGGTTATCTTATGTGGCAGCTAGCAAAAAACTTTTGCAATATCTAATTCATAAAAGCTGGACCCCAAAAAGTTGGGATAAGGCTTAGATGATGATGATACACACACACGCCATACACAACACACATAGATACACACATATGCATCGAAAAGCTACTGAACGCTATAGTGTTCAGTAGCAATTGTATATGGAAAGACCTATTAGTAGCTCCAAATCGCTTTCTACAGTACTTTCAGTCCACCTCACAACTAGTTGTATGATATTTGATTGGATGGTTGACATAGTGTGTTATTATTTGAATTCCATTCTTTTTTTTTCTTGCACATCAGATTTATGTGAAACTTGGCTTGTCTACTTCTCACCCCTATGCACCTTAAAAAATAATAGAAGATAATTTTAAAACTAAGTGATCAAAATACCGCTGCAATATTGCATGGGTATTATAGTCATTTTACTTTTTTGAATTGTTTCTTATTTTCTCTTAGGTGCACCCAAATGAGGTGTAGCTTTCAGTCCAAATTGATTTTTAAAAAAAATTTTCATTGACTAACAAGCATTCTCAACTGTTCATGAAGATCGAATGGTTGAGAGGTAGGCCGAAAATGCGGTAGGAAATAGCTGGACAGTTTGCTAGGTTCATAATATTTTATATATACATTTGGATCCATTACACCTGTATCTGATCAGTCCAAGTTTCATCTGGAAGTGTTTATTTGATGCGCACCTTGTGAAATTAGGTTTTGGCATGATGGTATTGTTTGCGGTTAGGAACTCCCCGTTTATTTAGTAGCCTGAGGAGTTCCATACGCGATTGCTGCAGCATATGGTGTTGTTTAGCAACAATAATCGTAGGGCACCCCCTATTTCTTATTTCTCAAAAAAGAAATGAATGGTGTCTTCATGACATTCTTTAGATTATAGGAAGTTTCTTTCTAGGCATCTTTGAGCGTCCAGGTTTACCTCTTCCCGGTGTGGAAAGCCATCAACTAAGTAGGAAAGGGAGGAAGCATTTTGAGAAGGCAAACCCGATTGAAACTAGAAGCCCTAAAGAGATGGAGGAGAAGTTGAGCAAAGCTAGAGAGAAGCTCCCAAGTGGAATGGATATAATGGAGGGGGTGTTGTGATTCCTGTCCTATGTCCCTTGTTGGGGGCAGTCAATAAAATCTAGAGAAACCAGCAAGGTTCTTAAAACACCTGTCATAACCCATAACATGTATAAAGGCAGTGTTGGCAATGGTACCATGAGAGAGAGAGAGAGAGAGAGAGAGAGAGAGAGAGAGAGAGAGAGAGAGAGAGAGAGAGAGAGA